TGGTAACCGTCGCCTATAAACATGAGCAGTACCATGTATATATATACTCAACCAGGTCAACCTCCTCGTGGTCCCCCCTGGAAACCATCGTGCTAAATTTCGAGTGTATTCATCACGATAGGCTAATAGACTTGCTTTTTTTCATTCTCATCTATCATCCCTCACTAGTGCCCCACCAGCGTATACCGTTAGCGCAAGCGGGGTTGCCATTCCATTATCATCCATTAAAAAAAGGTACTTATAATCGTGTAAGTTCTAACTAAAAGTCAGTGTTTTATTCTATGAGCAATGTTCTTCATCGAGTTACGACCTTTTGTGTTGCTGCAGTACACACGTACGTATGTATTTTATTGTGGTGGCCATAAAGCCTTGCGCAAACCATGGACATTAAGCCATAGTCGACATTACACGTAGTAAATCTTGTACTTGCACAACACATTGCGTGTTGTAACATGCTCTTTTTTATATAAAGTTTATGCGTGTTTGACTACAGTACAGTCTCACCGGCGGGAGGGGATTGTTAGTAATGGGGAGGTTGGTCCCCATTGCCCTATCAGGTCGACCTCCACGTAGTTCCCTCTGGAAACTATCGTGACTACTGGCAACCCCCCTCCACCCGAGGGGGAGGCTTATGTTCAGCTGTGGACAGTTAAAGGCTGATATGATTATATTGAATATTATAAATGTGAAACTGAGTTTGTTTGTTTGTTGGCTTAATCGATTGACCAAGTCATTAAAGCGTTAGTAATTTAGTATTCTCGTACTAATTGGGAAGGAAAAAGATAGGCTATTATCGATACCGGTCAGTAAATATTTCCCAGTCACGCGGACAAAGTCACGGGTATAAGCTATGTATAAAAAAGAACACATAAAATGTTGCTAAAGGGTAGATAAATAGATAGATAGATACTCTTTATTGTTTCCTCCAAAAGATTACAATAGTAAACTTATTATAAATATAAACAATTACAAGAAATAATCACAATGAGAAAACAATGGGCGACCTTATCGCTAAGAGCGATCTCTTCCAGGCAACCTTTGGATGGAGAGGAATAATTATTACCAATTTGGTGGGAATCACGATGAAAAATTCTGTTAATTCTAAATATTGGAGATGTGATACATGTAATAATATAAATATTAAAGGTTTAATTTAATCCTTAAAATTTGTATAGAGTTACATATATCTTACCATGAGGTGGAGCGTATGCTTGTTTGCCACCGCAATGGTATAAAAAATTTATACTAGTATAAATAATACGGACGACTGTTTCTTTGAACACGCAAATCTCTGGAAGTACCAGTTTGATTTAAAAAATCTTTTAATATTGAAAGCTCATTTTTTGAGGAAGTTTACAGGTTATTCAATATCGCGATTCGATCATGGACGGAGCCGCGGGATACTGCTTATATGCTCATGTGCTTTTTTGCTGTCACTCAAAAAATTAAATGTCGTATCCTTAGATATATACCATGAGGAGACTGTACAAAAGTCAATTGCTTGGATACCTCTGTTCCATTCGTGTTTCAACCTTGAAGCAGTTGTGTTTGCATGGCTGTGTTTCGGTTTGAATGGTGGGATATGGCGTGAATTTACTGGGTACAGAGGAATAACATCTGAGTCCTCAGAAATGGCAACGCATGGGGGGTATCATGGGCGAAACATTTATATGTCCATGGTACTGCTAGGCGAACTATTTTCCATCAGGTGGACTGTCATCTTGTTTGCCATTCTAAGTTGTATATATATATATATATATATATATATATATATATATATATATATATATATATATATATATATATATATATATATATATATATATATATATATATATATATATATAGAGAGAGAGAGAGAGAGAGAGAGAGAGAGAGAGAGAGAGAGCATCCAGACTCAAAAACGGGTAAATTTTTTTTCAGCTAATTGTAAAATTTGCCGACTCGTTTTTTTATAGTATTCTATATACTTACGCATAAAATGTATCTTGACGTATTATTTAATAAATAAAATGAGTGTTTACGCATTAAAAATATGCAGAAATTATAAGACAAAACAAATATAGACGTTATAAAGGATATACGCATAATTGTATGCAAAAGTTGATCTGTTTTTCTCGAAACATTTCTATGGAGACATTAACTATATCAGTTTTTTTTTATACAACTTTGAATGGCAAACAAGCTGACGGCCCACCTGATGGAAAGTGGTAATCGTCGCCTATAGACATGAGCAGTACCATGGACATAACAGTACACACACATACTGTTTCGCCCATGATACCCCTCCCCCCCATGCGTTGACATTCCTGAGGACTCAGGTGTTATTCCTCTGTACCCTGTAAATTCACGCCATATCCCACCCTTCAAACCGAAAACACAGCCATGCAAACACAACTGCTTCACGGTAGAAACACGAATGGGACAGAGGTACCCAAGCAATCGATTTTTGTACAAAGTCTCCCTCTGGTATTATATATAACATGATTAAAATTACTTTAATTTAATAATAAATAAATAAATAGGTATTATGTAAAGTTGATTTGATTTGATAATAGGTATTACCCCTCCGCGCGCGTGGAAAGCCAAGGTGAACTAAGTCTGACCACGTACCTTTACAACCCACCTATAAGAGTTACGGAGAGGCATTCTCCTATCGATCGACGTTCAAGGTCCGCCCCAAGGCCGTTCCACCTCCCATATTGGCTAAACACAAAATTGATGTATTCTTGTTAATATTTATAAAGGGCGAGTACTACAGCCTGTCAATGTATGAGTGACTTGACGATATGGCAATGGTATTGTACCTTCGTGTGGATTTGTTGTGATTTTATTAATAACTACAATAATCACTTTAATTAACAGTAGATAGATAAAAAAAAATGAACTTCGTTTATTTATTTATTAATTTTTTTTCATAATACCCATTTTTTGACAAAACGCTCCAATTTGTCGTCCTAGTATTGCAGGCGTCCATAGGCTACAATAACCGTTTATCATGAGACGGGCTATATACTAGTTTAACACTTTCGTGGTATAAAAAAATATTAGAGAAAAACCTCCACTTTTCAGTTTACTTTCAGGTAGGTCAGTTAATAAAATGTACATTTATTTAGAAGTATTCGGTCTTACTACAAAAGATAAAAAAAACAGTGTTGGTATCAAATGCGCGGATATTGTTTTAATTAATTAATTTATTTTACAAAAATGAGAAATACACAGTGCACAGTATGAAAGTTGATGGAGGAAGAGGGCAAAAACAGATCGCCGTGTTGCAATGCTACATTAATGAGTGTTTCCATATATAAAATTTACATTGTTAGTTTATGCTTTTATAATAAAACGGTGTTTAACGAAACTCTGTCTAAGTGATTATATATTGTTTAGTCAGTGTAGTAAAGTTTATTTTGTATTTTTATATGCTAAAATGTATAGATTTTTTATAATGAAAGTTATTACTTTAAATACATTTTATTTTTAATAACATAGACTATCTTTTGTTTTACCGTTAACATATGTTTGACGCGCTTTCGTAGTGAGATGTCTAAACATGTATTACACACCTTTCTCCTATGTTTAACTTTTTTGTGGTAAAACGGATTATGTCTAACCAGATTGAACGTTTGTCCTCTATGTAATCGTTTAGTGAATAATGGACTTTGCTCAGTAAATTGATAAGTAGATGGAAAGCATCCTTTACTATGGTTTTACTATGGTTATGTTTAATGCCGATTCCCATAAATGACATTTTTTTTTCCAAATAGCTAGTTCTAAAACTAGAAGCCAAAATCTTGGGTAATATAGATAAGAACATATTACGCCGATCCGAAAATTTATATAATTAAAAATAAAATAAATAAAAATGTTTATTTTGGGATCCTTAGCTTAATTTACAGTTTTCTTTTTAGGATCGATAATAACTGCATTAGTGACAAAGAGACTGTGTCGCAGCTATCAACGCCCGCTCCATAACATGGGGTACAAAATTTAAATAACAATAACACTGAAGAAAATTGGGATAAGGGTAGGAATATGATGATGATTCTAATAGCTTGCGGCTTCTTTGCCAACATCATACATTTTATCTCGTCTGGTACATTACCCCGGCCGGGCAACATTTGGTAAAAAATTGTAAAAGCGCCTAAAATACCTATTGAGAGACAGGCCAATAGTAGACAACGTTGCTAATCGCCATAATAAGCGAGTTTCGTACTAGAACCCAAGTAATAATTGACCTTCTGACTTCTAGTAATTTCAATACGAACACGCGGCAGATCGTACGCCGATATCGCAAGTCATGCGCCCGCGCAACACGCTATTGTTTTATTATAATGAACAGCTTATAGTTAAAATATATGGACAAGCTGTATAAATGCATTTTGCTCCGCAAAAAAAATCAGTAATGAAATCACGAACACGCGTACATACATAGAGGCGGTGTTACCATCAGGGTTGCCAGATGCGTTTTTGATTTTTACCTAAATGGCATGTTTTTAATGTTTCGTAGCAAAAAGGGATAAAGGAACCCTAATGGTGTGATTTTGTGCGACCGTCCATCGGTCACAGCGTTATATTTCAACAACTATTGACACTATCGATTTGAAATTTGAAGTTATTTTACATTTTATTGTCCCGCATATATTGCAATGAAAATAAATGAAAAAATATTTTTATTTTCTTTGCTAGTAAATTTAGTCGGACTAATCTAATAAAATTCTAACTGGACAATGCCAGTACATGGGAGATATTTATGAAAAACTAATATTAAGGCTCTTAATAAAACCAATAGATATCCAAACTATATTTTTATATGAATTTGATGTCTGTTTGTTTGTCCGGCATCACGTAAATACTACTGCACCAAACTGGATGTAGTTTTCACAGTTGTATTCCTAAAGGTGTAACTTAAAATTAGAGGACCTATCGTGAAAAGTTTCCGAAATTTTAGGAGCCCAGCTAAACAAAAAATTGAATTTTAAACAAGTTTTGTGTTGTTTCAGATCGACGGCAGCTTGCTACTGACTAACGTGGACGTGGACGACGCTGGGGTGTACGAGTGCGGTGTGGAAAACGAGACCTCCTTTATCGACAGGGTGAACCTCACCGTTCGCAGTGAGTTGCATTGTCCAATATACTTATTATTATACTTATTTCATACTATACAAAAACACGAATATATATATATATATATATATATATATATATATATCTGCTTTCGCCCGCGTCGTATTTTGATATCGCAATATGCTAATTTTTGGAAATAACTCGATAGATTTATTAAGGATTTACCCTATATTGCTAATAATGGGCTCACATACATACAAAAAAAACTACATTATCGGGTTCTTCAAAAAGAGTGTATTAAGGTTTTTTCAGAGTCGGCAACGCGCACGTGACACTTTTTTTTTGTGAGACATAGTCTAATTAATTATTTAAAACAATGTAATTGCCTGTCAAATACATAGAAAATAATATCAACATCACTTGTAGATAAATAAAATAAAAACAACATGGACATCACAGTATACACTGTCATGCCCTTAAAATGCTTGAGAGATGCTCTCATGCATTAATCAGTATGCATCTAGTAAGTTAGTAAGGATTGTTTGATGGGTGTTGCGGTTATATATATATATATATATATATATATATATATATATATATATATATATATATATATATATATATATACGAGGTCTGTCCGGAAAGTTCGTATAAAAGTGTTCTGGAATGCGAGAAAGAGGATATATAGCGCAGGATATATAACAATGCTTCAGTTCTGGTCTGACCGCCGTGGATTTTGGCTTGTCACGCCATCTGTGAAGTTTTTAACGAAACCCCGTCGGCATGGAGCCCGCTTCCGTTGAAGAGCAGCGCGTATTAATCAAGTTTCTCTCATAAACTTTAATAATGGCCGTGAAATTTTTGCCGATCTAATTCGATAAGACATCCGGGGAACCACGAACAAAAAAATCAAGAAAATCCCGCTCAAATGTCAAGACAATGTTGATTGTTTTTTTCGATGTTCGGGGGATTGTCCATCAAGAATTCGTCCCTCCAGGCCAGACAGTTGATGGAAAATTCTACGTCGATGTGCTAACGCCTAGCTCGTGTAAAACGAGTTCGTCCAGAATTGGCGCGAGAGGGGCGTTGGATTCTTCACCACGACAATAATGCCCAACCTCTCTTGTTGTCCGTGAGTTTTTGAGTAAAAATTCCATTACGGTGACCGAACACTGTCTATTCGCCGGATTTGGCCCCGTGTGACTTCTTCTTGTTCCAAAAAACCAAATTGGTACTTCGGGGGCGGCATTTGGGGGACATAAATGAGATAAAAAAAGCTACGACGGGGCAGCTGAGAAACCTACAACCAGAGGACTTTCAAGGAGCCTTCTCACAGTGGAAACGGCATTGGCACAAGTGCAATATATATATATATATATATATATATATATATATATATATATATATATATATATATATATATATATATAACCTCGTATATATATACATAAGTTTTGTTTGAAAGTAGAAAATGCTATATAATATGGGCATCATCATTATCACGCTTGGTAGGCTAATTGTCAACCGCAGGCTTTTGGTGATGTTTTAAGAAGGACGACAGCAGCGTCCTTTCATCCATTTCTTTATTATTATGTTGCCTTAGTCGTCTCTTACATCGCCCACGGGAAAGGGTGGGGTAGGCCATTATATGCCGGGACCATACGGCAATGTAATATATTGTTACATACCAGCGACCCGCCCCGGCTTCGCACGGGTATACATTACATCACATCACATTAGAAACCTCTAAATTTATCAGTGTTTCTCTACAATATTATGTATGTTTTGTACATATAAATCTTCCTCTTAAATCACTCTATCTATTAAAAAAGCCGCTTCAAAATGCGTTGCGTAGTTTTAAAGATTTAAGTATACATAGGGACGGACAGACAGCGACAGCGACTTTGTTTTATACTATGTAGTGATTATTTATTTCCTACAGTAAATTGATAAAAAAAAACCTCATTCGTGGCAAAACCATTTATTATGATTTAAAGACTATTGAATTGATTTTTATAAAATAACTATGGAATCAATCCGAAAGTATGTCCTTTATAATAATAATATTAAAAAATAATCCAAATTGGTTTATAAATGGCATACTTTTAAATAGTACAACCGAATTTGGGAACCTCTTCCATTTTTGAAATCGGTTAATTGTCATTTGGAAAAACTAGAAATTACTATTTGTAAATAAATCACTATCTCCTCTTTTCTACTATTTACTCTTCGCCAACCAAAGGTTCCCTGAAAGAGATCGCTCTTAACGATAAGGCCACCCATTATTTTCTCAGTGTAATTTTTTCTTGTAATTGTTTGTATTTTTTTTTTTTTATTTAGACATTTCGTGTACGTTATGCCCAATTGTGAAGTCTATTCCGTTGGCAAAAGAGCTATGTAGTTAGATTAGTTAAGTTCCTAGAAATATTTGCTTTATCTAAAATATTGTGACAGGGGGAAAGAGATTGTTAGTAATGGAGATTGAGAATCCTAATGCTAGCAATATACCCAACCAGGTCGATCTCCTCGCGGTTCTTCCTGGAAACTATCATGGTTAATTCCTGATGAATTCATCATGATGGGCTAACTGGCCTGTTTTCATTCTCATCTATCACCCTTCACTGGTGCTCCGCCAGCGTATCCCATTAGCGCAGGCGGAGTTAACATACCATTTTCACCCATCAAAAAAAAATATTGTGACATTAATTTGTTTATATACTAGAATCCAGATCTGTTCTGCACACACTGCAAATATTTATATATTCAGAATAGTAAGTTACTTTAAAAAAAAATCACAATGAATCGACAAACGTCTTTGTTCAAACAGGCTGTATTCTTGCAGATAAATTTAGCTTGTTTATTTATTTATTAATTTATTTATAACTAGTAATAGAGAGAGAGAGAGAGATAAATTTACTAATGTATTCTTTTGGATGGAACAATAAAGAGTATCTGTCTATCTGTATCTATCTAACTTGCTAGAAATTTATACTTTATCTCACATAATTTAAATGAAGTTGAGCCTTGTTATATAAAAATGTTATTTTAAAATAGTTTAACGTTTTATTTATTTGTCTGCTTCGTGATTTTTAACTCAATGTGGTTAACACACGCACTATTATTTGTACGACAATTCTGTTTTTTTTTTTTATGATGTCGTCAGTACGTGGATATATATATATATATATCATATGGCTTATCGAAAATATACACATAGGTCTGATAAAGGTCCACAAATAGTAAAATTCGAAACAAGCAGGTTTGCCCATCGCAAAAGGACAGTATTAATCGTCATAAAATTAATTAGATCATAATTTTTTGCAATAACAAAGGAGCAAGACCCTTTATAGAAATAATTATTAAAATCCACTTAAAACTAACTGCCCGCCCCGGCTTTACACGTGTATACTTATGAAGAAAATAAGATCAATTTGATGAAAAAAAATTACAATTCACTTATTATTTAAACAAAAAAACAGATTTTAAACCTCCTATTTTTAACCGACTACAAAAAAGGAGGTGTTCTCTATTCAATTGAATTTTTTTTATTCTTGTTACCTCAAAATAACCTCTATTATAAATCGATTTAAAAAACCTTTTTTTATTTGAAAATTGTAAGTTCAAATTGGTCCCATAGAATACATCAAAATCCGTTTTAAATCAAAATAACTGGTTTTCTTGCCATTTAAGTCTGTTTTTTTCTTTTTTTTATTTATAATATCTACTCATATATTTATAAGAAGTCATTTAAAACAATCGAAAACGAATCAAAATACAATATTGTCTCTTTTTTTGACTCAAAATCTTGCCTTGATTATTGGAAATGGTGGATATTGATTTTGGTGGGCTGTCATTTGTTTTAATTATAAACCTGTCGAGACACCGACGGCGAAGACACCGGCGAGTGCTAGCAACGCTTTGATTGATAGTCCCTTTAATTTGTTCTGTATAAATATTAATAAAGGTATCGTAGCTTAGGGGCGTTGTGTCCGTAGAGGACAATGTATTTCTGTTTTTTTTTTTTTAGGAAATATTTTTTATGCAACTTAGAATGAAAAACAAGCTGACGGCCTACCTAATGTCGCCTAACCGTCGCCTATAGGCGACTTTCCATCAGGTTTCCACTGCTTATGGTATTGTCACTGTCTGTCCGTGTGTAACAGACATGGGCAGTACCAGGGACATAACAGAGTATATTGTTTCACCCATGATCCCCCCCCATGCGTTGCCATTCCTGAGGACTAAGGTGTCTTCATTATTAAAAATCACTCCCCTCTCCCCTCGACAGGGAGCTCATTCTATAACTTAAGCGTTTGTGGGAGAAAACATCTCTGAAACCGTGTTGTACGCGACCATCTAGGGTATGAAGGTGAACTCCTTGTATAAACTCCTTATGGTGTTTATGTGTATAGGCGACGGTTACTATTTTCCAGATAGGTTGTCAAATTGTCTGTCATTCAAAGTTACATAAAAAAAAATGAAAATATTTGAATTTGGAATCACTGTCTGTCTGAAATGTCTGAATGTCTATGAGTTTTGCTTCGCAACTAGCAGTATTTTGCTCTACGAAGATTCTTTTCACAAACATACCACAAATCTTTGATATTAAAATATTACAACGTACCTAAACCTACCTGCTATCATAATCCGATCCGGCTCAATGAGCAATAATCGGGACAAAACAGTGACAGTTTGAAAGCCAACCGGCATTTCCAGCTCCGTGAATATCAGCTCACGCATGACCGTGGCGCATGCAAGCAAACTCCCGAAATATCGGACGCACACAAACAATAGGGGTCAACGTGTTTACATACAGAATGACTTATTAGTTGCAGTATCTATTCGATAAATAATTGAACATATTTCAATTGTTTCTGATTGTTTAATTAGTCTTCTGTCGAACAAAAGTCAAAAATAAATTAAATTAAATAAACATTAATCATGCAGTAATATTCTTAATGGCCGTGTTGTCCCGCCATAGAATAGGCCACCCCTTCCTTTCCCGTGGGTGTTGTAAAAGCCGACTAATTGAGGGCGAGGTATAAGCAGTAGCGTCCCTCTTAAAGCATCTCTAAGACCTGACTGCGGTTGCTAATCCACCTACCAAGCGGGCAACTACTGGCCAACCAGTGCCAACTCATCATGACGAATTCATCAATTTCCATGGTTTGCAGGGGAACCACATGGAGGTCGACCTGATGCTAGCAATGTATCCTACATTGCTAGTATGAGGCAGTTAGAGCCTACTAACAATTCTTTCCCCCAGTAAATTTTATTGTACCTGAATGTTTTTTTTTTTTTATACAACTTAGAATGGCAAACAAGCTGACGACCCACCTGATGGAAAGTGGTAACAGTCGCCTATAGACACGAGCAATACCATATACCTGTATATAATTCCATAGCGTATAGAAATCAAAATATGATCACAATCATTGTAACTGGTTACCTGAAGACGAGTAAAGCGTTTTGCGAAGGTCGCGTAATGACCGTCATTATTAACTGCCAATTTTATATAGACCTCCCAATGTCTATTGACTACGTTGATCGCACAACAAATGTATGTCGCGCCAGAGCTCAATACCAATTGGTCGGCTGTTTTATTGTAACTGGCTGTATGATTATAGTTGACAATGTAAATCTAAATTAAACGTGCATCGTAGCGATAATGAGATAGTGAAAATTACGTGTGTATTATGTCTATATTTGTCACTGATATATATAAAAGAGACAGAGACAATAAAACACAGGTTTGAATATAGACATTTGGCATTGAAAATAGACATGGGGGGTACATGGGCGAAACAGTATACTCTGTTATGTTCATTGTACTGCTCATGTCTATAGGCGACGGTTACCACTTTCCATCAGGGGGACCGTCAGCTTGTTTACCATTCTCAGTTGTGTATAAAAAAATTTATTTGCACTCATTTATAACAGTGACATTTCTACAGAAAAATGTCAAATACAAATTTTAACTTTAGATTTTTTTTTTATTTTAGCCGTTAATTGTCCACTGCTGAACATTAGCCTTCCCATAAGAGGAGTTTTGCCAGTGGTTGCCATGCTTGGTAGGGGGATTGGCAACCGCAGTTAGACTTTTACAGATGTTTTAAGATGGACGCTGCTGCCCATCCCTCTACCATATGCTCCCTTAGTCGGCTCTTACGACACCCACGAGAAAGGAAGGAGTGATCCATTCTATGCCGGGACCTACACGGCGAATGTGTTTAGATAATTTTAGAAATAATATATCCTAATGTCTAACGTAGTTTTTTAATTACGATGTATCCGACTTTACACATTTTTTGCCTTATCCTATAGGATAAGGCAAATTACAAAATACATTGAAACATGAATCTTGCGTTTTTGTATATCAATGATCTTCACGCAAAAATACCTTGATATCAATTCTGTTAATTTATTTCTAGTTTTCTCATTACACAAATAAAAATACAGCTGTGACCTAGTTACGCCGCACGACGTTGGATTAATTACTTAACTCCATTAAGCGAATCTACTGTTTTTGGTCTATATAGGCGATTCTGACATATTCATACGGAATACGGAAGAATTGATTATTAGTAATGGAGATTAGCAACCCCATTACTAGCAGTAAACCATATCAGGTCGACCTCCACGCGATTGCTCCTGGAAGCCATCATGATTGATTTGTTGTTGAATTCGTCACGATGGGCTAACTGACCTGCCTTTTCAACTTCACTAATCATTATTCACTGGTGCCTCGCCAGCGTATTTCGTTAGCGCAGGCGGGGTTACCATTCCATTTTCACCCATCAAAAAAACCTATTAGGTCGACCTCTACGCGTTTTCCCCAATTTGTTACGATGGGCTAACTGACCTGCTTCATCCTCACCTGTCATCCCTCACTGGTGCCCCGTCAGCGTATACCCATAGCGCAGGCGGGGTTACCATTCCATTATCATCCATACTATATACTAGTCTAAAGAAAAATAGTGGGCTGACATTTATGTTCGCTACTAAATTAGAAGTAAGAATTTTCCCTAGAGACGTAGGAGTCTTCAAAAAGGGAACAATAAGGTTTCTTAAGGGTTGCCAACGCGTGTGGCATTGGCAACATTTATCCCTGTTGTTGCAGGCGTCCATAGGTTTTCTTTTTTTTTTAAGGGTGAAAATGGTATGATAACCCCGCCCGCGCTAAGGGGATACGCTGGCGAAGCACCAGTGAAGGGTGATAGATGAGAATGAAAACAGGTCTGTTAGCCCATCATGATGAATTTATCAGGAATTAACCATGATAGTTTCCAGGGAGAACCACGAGGAGGTCGACCTGGTTGGATATTACTAGCAATGGGATTCTCAGTCTCCATTACTAACAATCCCTTTTTACCCCCTGGCGTCCATAGGTTACATCATGCAGGCTATATACTTGTTTTCCACCATCATCATTTCAACTATTAACTGCCCACTACTAGATGTAGGCCTTTCCCATATTATACCATAAGGAATGCTCCCAAGCCACCTACATCCACTGACGTCGACGATTGTCGATGCTCCACCTAGTGAGGGGTCGTTCTCGCAGTTCTGGGGAACGCATTGTGCGTTTGCCTGTATGGAGTCACCTTTCAAGAATCTCGAGAGGCGACTCTATACAAGCAAGAAGAGCAACTTGAAGTCTCTGCATACGGCCAACCGTGTACAATGTACAGGACATACTGATATAAAAGTAGTCTGTAGGGCTATAACCTCACAAACTTACCAGTTGCCGGCCCTTGTGATTACAAGATCTGAATCATGGTACACAATAAGTGATATTTTAGCCTTTAAACCGAAACTGTAGATTTAGGAATCCGGAAGGGCATTCCAGCAAACTATACCGGAACGACTTCAAACAAAGCCTCCCTATAGTGATACCTCTGCAGTTTGAGGCGACCTTCAGTTCATATCATCGTGAGCATATGACCACAAAGGAAGGAATCAGGAAAAATCTTACCAATAGGAAAGCAATCGAGGAATGAAAAAGTTTTCTACTTTACGTATGTTTTTTTTTATACAACTTAGAATGGCAAATAAGCTGACAGTCCACCTGATGGAAAGTATTTTTTTTTTATTTTACTGAAAAATAAAACAAATTAGGCAAAATACATCAAAATATAAATTTAAAAGGACTCGTATAAATAATGGACATCCCCTTTATATATTTTTAACAATTCTCTATGATCGATAAAAAATAATTTAGCTAATTGGTACAATAAATATTTGTTCAATGCCATTGGGTATATATACGTTACACGGAATTGGTAATTTATCGATTGACCGTCTATTTGCACGGTCGGAATATCGGAACATTCGAAATTCTATTATCTTGTTCAGTGTCTACCAAATATAGGCGAAATTCACTTTTATGCCCCATAAAAATACGATCTATTTTAAATTGTCTATGGTTTTAAATTGAATGGTAAGGTTGCATACATGTAGGTATCGATAAATATTCCTTTTAATCACAGCGCACTTGTAAAGACAAAAGTACGTTTTCATTTAGCTTTAAATATATTTACATAATTTTATTGATTTAATTGTTGACTTCCAATACATATATGTATCTACTTACGTATATACTTACAGCTTATTTACTACTGCAACAGGCATTACACTTTTAAAATTTGATATTAATTTAAAATTTTATTTTTAAGTTTTTTAATATTTAATCTTCATGCGTACCCATACACATGTACACAACACTGGGTGTGTTGTGTACATGTGTATGAGTCCAAGCCAATTCAAAACAGTTCGTTTCCGAAATTTGTTTAACTGGGAATCGAACCTAGAACCTGATTTATAAAAGAAGTTTGCCGCGGAGAACATCAAAATTGCTCCAATTATTATCGCCTTTTAACAAGTTGTGAATAAATGTTTTTTTTAATATTCCTCATGTTGTTATCCACAGCGGAACCGCCGCCCCTGGTGAACGTAACCGTCCACGCGTCCACCATCCTCGCGCTGATCCTGTGGAACGTGGCTGGAGACGGCGGTCACCCAATCATCGACTTCACCGCGCAGTACCGCGCGGCGGCGCCTGTAAACGGCTCCCTGGAGCCCTGGAGGCCCATCAGCCCCAACCATATTAGTCCCAATTCGGTAAGGTTGTCATTATAATATCATATCAGCGTTTAACTGTCCACTGCTGAACATAAGCCTCTTGGGGGGGGGGGGGGGTTGCAAGTAGTTGTCACACATGGCAAGAGAATTAGCAATCACAGTTAGGCTTTAGAGTTGTTTTAACGCCCTCCCTTAGTCGCCTCTTACGACACCCACGGGAAAGGAAGGGGTGGCCTATTCTATACTGAGACTACACGGCCATTAAAAAAATTAAAATATAAAGGGAAAACAATATTGTAAAGTTATTGGCTTTTACATACCTCAGTTTTAGCGAAATAAATATTTTAAAGTTTTAAAACAAATCAGCTCTCGTTTACAATCTTCAACGTGTTACATAAAATGCTAGAATAATATACCACCGCAATTAAGTTTGTCTTAAACTAAATATATTTTTGAAAGAGCTTAAAAAGTTTTTAAATAATAAACAAAATTGGCATACCTGATAGGTATGTAGCGGTAATATTTATCGCTTGAATGCTTGGATTTGATAGAAAGTGACCTCTGACAACATCTCTTCTAATGGTATGCGTTATTTATTAATTTAGATTAAAATTTTAAATAACAATAATTGTATATGGAGACACACAATAAATTTTATTCATTTATGAATGAATGAATAAATGAAAGAATGAGAATTTGCATTATACAATATAGGAAATAAACAAGACAATTTACAAACATAACGATACAATTGTATAAGTACAGTAAGGCGGTCTTATTGCTGAGAGCAATCTTTTTAAGACAACCTTAAGGTAATGGTCTAATTGTTGTACAAGTAGGTATATATATATTGACTAGGTATTTCGCCGTTCGTTTTCGTTCTTCTGACCACAACCGAATATCAGTGTTGCTCTTGTGAGGACAAAGCAATAATTGAGTTTTGACCATTTTGTGTTACTGTGACACACGCACGAAACGAAAAATTATGTTACTTCATTTACCTATGTATTTTTCTTTTGATTGTTTTTCGTATATATATTCTTTTATTTCTTTTTTTTTTGCGTATTTGTCTATATCTCTTGTTATTTGTGTGCTATGTAATGCTATTTTTTTTTATACCACTAAGGTGGCAAACAAGCATACAGACCACTTGATGGTAAGTGGTTACCGTAGCCTATAAACACCTGCAATACCAGAGGTATTACGCGTGCGTTGCCGACCCTGGAGAAATCTCTTTACCCCCCTTTTGAAGAACCCCATGCTGTAGTCTCTTGGAAAAACCTCGGCAGGGAACTCATTCCACAACCAGTGTTTGAGGGAGGAAACATCTCTGAAACCGCGCAATACGCGACCATTGAGGCTGTAGGACGTGAGGATGAACTCCCTGCTATTTGCATTACTTACAACACATATTATATTACATTTTTTATGCAACTTAGAATGGCAAACAAGGCGACGGCCCACCTGATGGAAAGTGGTAACCGTCGCCTGTAGACATGAGCAATACCATGGACATAACAGAGTATACTGTTTCGCCCATGATACCCCCCATGCGTTGCCATTCCTGAGGACTCGGGTGTTATTCCTCTGTACCCTGTAAATTCACTGCTAAATGCTAACTTCTAAATGTCGTATGAAAATTAAACATACGGCAATGTTTAAGTTAGATCTTTAGGAATACAACAGTGAAACCGCATTTAATGTAGTGCATTAATTTTCTGCAATGTCGAAATACAGTTACAGACGGGATAGAATTTCCAAAATTATCCTGAACCATAGTGAAACGGAACCGTTTATCAAAGAAACATGGATAAATTAAATTAAAAAAAAATTGTGCTCTCAAAGTATTGTATGACGAAGCGGGGCGGATACAGGATCTCTAGACAATTGACAAACGAGTCCATCGATAGTATTGAAATCGTGAGATAGAATGAGACAGCAACGTCGGATGACTTCTTCCAACTCATGGACTCGTTAGCGATAACGATTCCTTCGATGAATTCGCTTGTCATTTGTCTGGGGGGCTGGTGGTATCTTAGTAGGGGATACAAAAACTTTTGTATCGTTTTTAAATCAGAAATTTATACACGATCCAACTACACTAAACTATATCAACTGAGACCAAAACCGGGGACATCATTTACAAAGCAACGTGTCTGATGCTCTACCAAAGATTACGTGATTGCTATAAATGTATTTACTAGAATATTTAATGATCTAAGATACTTCTGTTATTCCAGCGTCAAATAGACGTGTACCATCTGGAGCCGAACGCGTCGTACTGGTTCAGGGTGTGGGCGAACAACATGCTGGGCCCCGGGCCGCCGGTCGAAGTACTCGCCACCACGCTCTTCAGCGACCAGGAAGCAGGTCGGTACCACTCTTCATCGTCCACTCCCCAGCTCTATCTCACTTATCTGCTCACAGTCATGGGTTTACCAATAAATGGTATAAAGATCCAGACAACGAACATCTGCACAATCCAGAACAAGTAGATCCGAGACAAGTTAGAAAAGTTCATTTCCAGACTTGGCTTGACCAAGAATCACACCAAAGCAATGTGCCTACAAACTGCGCCTTGTATAACTGCATGTAATTGATATGCCAGTTTTTTGCCTCATGTGAATTTAAGAATCCTGCCTGCATAGGTGTTTAGAGAGGGAGGAGCGGGTAGGCCGTGCCCACTGAATTTCCTGATGACTGCCCTAGAATAAGGAGCGGAGCTTTCAGTTATAAGAAAATCAGAGAAGCCTTTTTTGAGAGGCCTGGTTCCCTCAAGAAAGTGAGTTTAAATACGCTAATGCCTGCCTGCGTTATCGATATACGCCGGCATGGCACTAGTGAGTGGTGACAGGTGAGGATGAAAGCAGGTAACTGGCTTATTATATTGAATTTGTCAAGAATTAACCACGATTATTTCCAGTTACTAATAGTCTCCTCTTGACACTCAATCTATTTATTTTGTGATACTTTTTTTTTATGGATGATAATGAGATAGTACCGTGTCTGCGCTATTGGTATATCAGCTAGCAGACGGGGTACCAATGAAGAATGATAGGTGAGGAAACCAGACCAGTCGACTCATCGCGATGTATTCACCAGGAATTAACCACGATGCTTTCCATAGGGGACTATATAGAGGTCGACCTGATAGTGTGTATTGCTAGCAATGGGACTGGTAGTCCTCATTCTCCCCCACATTGTGTGATACTACCGTTTGGGTTATAACTTGACGTTGAGCATTCCGAACGCGTTGCACCCCGCAGAGCTGTACAAGCACTTCCTGGAGGGCGCGGAGTCGTTCGACACGCGCACGTGGGTGGCGGCGGTGTGCGTGGTGATGGGCACGCTGGCCGTGCTGGCGGCGGGCACGTGCGCCGTGCTGTGCCGCGAGTGGCGCCGCTCCGGTGAGCTCGCCTAGCTGCCGCCGCGCGCGCCGCTGCCGCTGCCGCGGCTCTACTTCCTCTGGGAGTAGCGCGGCGGCGGCACGCGGCGGCACGCGGCGCCCACGCTCCAACGAGCGACACGCGAACCGATAGATACGTTTTCGCTACCTCATGCAAGAGATAGAACTAGCTTGATAACGAAGCAATAGTGTATTGTCCGTGACGTATCTATGGTCTCTTCGTTTGTCGCTTGCCAAGGGGGATAGCATATTTATTAAACAAGCGATACCATGAATCGGTAGATACTTTTTCGCTACCTCACTTCGTTTTCCGCTTCTCTAAGAGGCAATATGCGTACCGGCAAATAACTTGAAATTTTATGTCACGTGACCTGCGCAGTAACAAACTCGCGTACCTGGAAATATTTAAAAAGTACCGGGCATAAAAATACTAAAATCATTTAGGGTTGACAAAGTTTATGTTTTGATTGCTTGACTCGATTCTTATTTACGAGTGTATTATAATATTTTTCGATTCGAATTTCTATTTAGAACTGTAGATACCTATGTTTATGCAAATAAATTATTGATTAATTGAATAGCGTACACTGCGCAGGCTTCTGATCGATTTTTATTCAAATTGTTTGCCACTAACTGTAGTTCGATAGCCATAACTAAAATCGCAACCATATCGTTGCAACAGCGATTCGATCATCGAAATCGTTTATAATAAATCAACCATATATAATATATTGTTGACGCTTATCTATAAGCACTATGGCCCTCTAGACAAGTGGCAATCGAATTAATCGATGGAATCGTACCAGAGGGAGACTGTACAAAAGTCGCTTGCTTGGGCACCTCTATCCTATTCGTGTTTCTACCGTGAAGCAGTTGTGTTTGCAGGGCTGTATTTCGGTTTGAAGGGTGGTATATGGCAGTGAATTTACAGGGTACAGAGGAATAACACCTGAGTCCTCAGGAATGGCAACGCATGGGTGGTATCATGGACGAGATAGTATACTCTGTTACGTTCATGCTACTGCTCATGTCTATAGGCGACGGTTACCACTATCCATCAGGTGGACCGTAGCTTGTTTGCCAATCTAAGTTGCATTAAGAAAAATCAACATTACTATCGTAGCGAGCCCATGAAATAGAATGAGATAGCATTGAAGGAGACATCCGACTCCTTTCAACTGATGGAGTCGCTAGCGATATCGATTCCATCGATAGATTCGCTTGCCACTTGTCTAAAGGGTTTGGGGTCGTACGACTAAGATTTTAGTAAAAATACTGGTAACATTTTAATTTACCAATTAACTTTAATTCTTTATAATCTCTATCTCACTTTATAAGATAACAAAATATTACATTTACATAATTTCTATATTTATCGTTATTAAATTCTGCATGTAAATAGTTATAACGATTCAATTAGCTGTTAAGCAAATTTAAACTCTAACCAAATGTTGTTGAGTGCATAATGCACTGTGACATACTGTACCACCGATACGAATACAGAGTAAATAAAAACAGTAGTGCAATAAGTTCGACATCACCATTTACTGAAGTGCCAGATTGAAGATGTCAAGTGATTATTATCTCACAATAATAATATATTTAATAGAATTATTTAAAATAACTAATAAATATTTGATTATATCGTTAGGTGTAATTTTAAATTACCTTCACAATTTTTAAGTACAAGTATTTAAAGACAGCTAGCAAATATGTAGGGAAATAATGTTAAAAATATATTTTGAAATTCTCGAATTGTTTGTGTGTTCAGGGTGAGAGAAAGACGAGGTAATAGAATACATTCTTCGTCTTCTTTCAAATATTGGGTTTTAAAAAGTAATAGGAAAGACGCTAGACTATGTACATTAGTTCTCCTAAGCATCCCAAAATACAATACACTGATTACATGGAAAGTAAAGTGTAAGAGAGTGTAGGAATAGGTACTAACCTACCTACCTACCTACTAACCTACTACCTACTTTCACGTAAGAGAAAAGACCTGTGCCCAGCGGTGGGATGTTAAATTCTAATAATAATAATTATTCAATATTAAAAATATAAAAATTATCAATTTTACTATATAAAGTATATAAAATTCGCGTATAGACAATTATGATAATACCCCGTTAGCACGACTCTGCAAACCGCTATAGCGAAGCGAAACTAACAAAACTCTCTGTCCTACTCTAGCGAAACGTATCGTGTATGTTGCATCCCGCTCTTTTATATTTCGCTTCGCTACCGCAGTTCGCGCCGTTAGTGTGCTAGCGGCCTCTAATGAATCTTGTTACCTATTTCGCGCTTCCAAGCACTGCTATATTAGCACAGTGTAGGGTAATTTTTAAAATATTTAGGCTCATATTGCACCAATGATAGTTTTTTTACTTCTAAAATAATGATCAAGTACATTGTTAGGGTACAAGCGACACGAAACGATGTAACGGATAAAAAAACTAAAAAAAAACCAGAGATGTATTTAGTTATAGGAAATCACTGATACAGCTAAATATTTTTTTTTATACAACTTAGAATGGCAAACAAGCAGAGGGCGCACCTGATGGAAAGTGGTAACTGTCGCCTATAGATATAGATTTAAACTCTAAATATATTTCTCTTTATTTAAATATCGTGGGCGATTAAAAGAAACCGAGAGTTGAAATTGGAATTATACGTATACTAGTTTTTACCTGCGACTTTGTCCGCGTGACCGAGATATGTTCACTTATCTCGACCGTTATTTCCACTGCTGAACATAAAGCTCCCCCATAGACTGTCATAAGGAATGGTCCTAAGGTACCTGATATGAAATATGTTCACGGACCGGGATAAAGAGCCTATATCCTTCTCCATCCCATATAGATAGTTAGATACTCTTTATTGTTTCCTCCAAAAGATTACAATAGAAAACTTATCATAGATAGATACAAACAGTTAAAAATTAATTACAAATTTTTAACACTGAGAAAACAATAGGCGGCCTTATCGCTAAAAGCGATCTCTTCCAAGCACCCTTTGGGTGGAGATTACGTGTATTTATATCAAATTTCAAAGAGATTTTTAAAGAGAGAGAGTTAAGCGATTAAGGCAATAAGGTTACAAACAAAATCACATTCACATATAATATTAGTAAGAAATAAAGAAGCTAGGACCGTCAAGGAGAGCCAAATAGTAACAATAGAAAGGTATGTCAGTTTGGAATTTGGTAAATGTCGCTGGTATTCCACAAACGTATAGGGCACCTAGAGATGTAACACCTGAGTCCTCAGGAATGGCAACGCATTGGGGGTATTATGGGCGAAACAGTATACTCTGTTATGTCCATGATACTGCTCATGTCTATAGGCGACGGTTACCACTTTCCGTCAGGTGGGCCGTCAGCATGTTTTCCATTCTAAGGTGCATAAAAAAAAACCTTTTAGTAGCCATTTTAATTGTTCTACTTAGTCATATCGAAAGGTGAGCTGCAAAGAAGTGCCAATTGGAAACTCAACAGTGTTTCTCTTTAAATTAATGTCTTAACTTAATGTTTAGTTATTTAAATATATTCTCAAATTCTAATCTCTATTTCCTATAATTACATTTGTCTCTGGTCTCATGTATCCACTATCTTGGTTCGCGACGTCGTTGTTAGAAATAGGTTAACATGGCATTAAAAAAATTTACTTTATCTAAGTTTGTAAATACTTCAGAAGGGTCTGTTGGTTAAATATTAACATAATTTTTTTATTATAGTCTTCGTATATTAGTGCCAAGGGATTTCATTCCATAATATTGATTTTTAATAATACTTACCTATAATCTATTATAAATAGAATTTTGTAAAAAATATTTTTAAACTAAAAAAAAATGTGCAATTTTAATATAACATATGACGCTACGAGATTGGTGCTAAGCATTGATATTAAACATACTATGTATAAGTACATTAATACCAAAAAAAAAATGTAGTCCGCTTAAAAGATACCTTGCGCTGTAACTTTATGGAAAAAAACTATTAGATTTAGGATATATGAATAGAAAAATATATTACGCTTATCCTAAATAAATAATTGGGATAGTGGTAGGATGATGATGATGATGATGATAGGAAATGTAAATAATAATTGTTAAAAGTGCCTAAATGTGCTTTCCCAATACAGTCAAATCAAAAGAAATACTCAGATTATACATTGACTTAACAAAAGTAAAATGTAAAATGTCTTTAAGAGATTGAATTAACACGACCATACAAAAGAAGTATAATAGTTTATCCAGGGTTTTCTTGACGAACTATGATTTGGTCGACATGTCCAGGAATCTATGATGATAATAATAATATAATGTCAGAAATGAACTCCTTGTCGAGGTTTCCCCTAAAGACTACAGTATGGGGTTCTTCAAAAAGGGTATATTAAGGTTTCTTCAGTGTTGCAGTGTTGCAGGTGTAGGCTACAGTGACCGTTTACCATCAGATGGACTGTATGCTTGTTTGCCACCTTTGTAGTATAAAAAAATCCCTTTATAAGTGTAAATTTACTAAACTTCGATAGAATGATCGCGTTCATTCCTGCCTCTAATAAATTATATTAATCATGCAACACTAAAATTTTATAGTTAGTAACCCTTATCGTATATTACAAATACGATAAAAAAAAATACTAAATATGATAAAAAAAAATTAATAAATAAGCAGTCCATACATATTTTATGAATAATTACATATAGAATGGACAACCAAAGTGTTTCACACTTTCAAGGAACATCAAACCGCCTATGTAAATGAGAGTAACGTAGTGGTTTGTAACAAAATTAAGACGCTATCAATAAATATATTATATATAAAAAATCTAAATTAAGTCAAAAATGCATATCGTTAGAGTTACGAGCATTGCCTAATTAATTATGTGAATTAACTGGCTGATAAAAATATAAAATGTTTGTTAAACTGGGAAAGCATAAGTACATCAAGGCATTTTTAAACAATTGACAAGACTTTGGACCAACTACAGGACGTCAATTAATACAGTAGTGATAAATTTAACAATAATGCTTATTTTTTTTTTTTTTTTTTTATTATAAGCAAACAATAAAATACATCAAAAATTATTGCCTAACAATACTATATCTAGTCCTATTGTCATTTGGGTAACTTTTATAAGAAGGGTACCTTCGATCCCTTCATAATTCAAACCAAAGTTCACTATTACCCCAAAGTGGATGTTACCCCAGTCGACGGTATTAAATTATCGGTACAACACGTTACAATAATATGGAATCTATGTTCTTCGAATAAATTGTTAAACAAATAATCGTTATATAATATTTCGTTTATACATTCCAACTTTAACGTGAACATTCTTTCAATATGGCGTTTGCTATTTTAATTATTTATTTTAAACAAAATTTTTAATTAAACCATTAACCTGTTTATGCCATTAATTGTTACTATAAATCCACATTTTTTTATAATTTTTAATTGGACTTTTTCTGAATTATAATTAATTTTTTTTTGTTATTTTTATATTACGTGTTAAAATTCCAATATGAGATAGTGAAACATAGATTTATAAAAGATTTTTTTTTTTTAATTTTATTTAATGTAGTAAGGGTACTAGCATTTTAAATGCTATGTTGTATACGAAAGTAATCTTGCCAGAATTAGTTTTTCTTTATTTGCGGGTATAATTGGGTGCCTAATTATTTATAGCCCTGTATCATGTTTTATAAATTTACATAATACAATTTTTATTCCCATTTAAATATTATAGCGTTCCTTTTTTTAAATAATTTCCACCATCGTTGAATTGCCAAAATTTTTTTCTCAAGTTTTTTATTAAAAATTAGACAATTTATCTTAGATCATATAGGTAGGTAGTTTTAGTATTATCTTACATTAAGCTGTAATTAATTGATAGCTTCCAATATTGAAATGTTATTCGTAAATAATTTCTTCAAAAGTGTATATCTAGTAATATTTAATATTATATACGTGTTATTATGCTTTCTTTTACCGCATAAGTGCATAACGTATAGGACTGTATATTGTCCTTAATTAATACAATAAATATTTTTGGGCTCATTAATGACAATTAGATTAAGACGCTTAGTAATTTCTACTTGTTTGTGTCGTCGTTCTTATAAATTATGGAATTTCACTATATTTTTGAAGATTTATAATAATACATTTAAGATCGATAAGAATATAACACTCAAGACTTTACACGTAGAAGTATTGACAAGAAAGTACACTTGACCTATTATACACTTCACATAATAAGTCAATGGTACCCCAACGACGATATGAATATGGTGATATTGTATATTTCATAGCTTGCACGCAATTATTCTTATGATATCTTCTGGACCACTTCTACTCTTGGACCACTATTACGCAACGTAGATTATAGCTTTTTTTCTATAATCTTTATAGTGTAGTAATTAAATAATAAAAGATTAAATTTTATCTAACTTAGATAAAGACTTAGGTAGTTAATAAATAGTTCTACTAATAAAACTTTGATTACGTATAGGTTTTTACGAGTACATATAGATCGCAGCACGATCTTTAGTGATTGCAATCAGTAATTTCAAATGCTTGTTAATAAATTGAGCTTACGATTAGATAATAATATTAAAAGATTATCCTCTGTTATAGTGATCTTACAATGTTGATATATTTCTTGTAAATAAAGCAATTATATACATGATACCAAAACTATAATCTCTAGCGTTTATAAAAGTGTTGAGAAGGGAGTTGTTTCATTTGTGCGTACTAAATAAGTTTATTTCAATCAAATTAATAAAAATTATAAAGAGAGGACTTACTCGATTTTACTTTATTATAATCCTGTATAATAATGTTGAAGAAAGTAATGTCCTATCGGTTATCTAGTGATATTTTGTAGTACTTCGTACTTTACGTCAATGAGTCAAAAGTGAGGGTTTCAAATTTTTGAGAGGCATAACTATTGCGCAATTATCAAACATAGTTGAGTATACAATCACTTATTTTATTAATGCAAGATGCGGAACTTTTAAAAATCTACAAATTTTATTAATAAATTATCTTGTTTAAATGTATATGGGACAGTACAACGACGAAATAAAAATCTAATGAAATCAGTAAAAACTTTTAGGAATAAGTTTCCTACGTTGGATTAATTTCTAAATTATTTATAAATATATTTACAAATTTCTTTATTAATATAAATATATAGCTTAATGGATAAGCTTCCAATTTAGCAATAAGGTAGTTGATATAGGTTCAACTTTCCAGAGTTGCTTACATAGTACGACAATTTCTATATCCATTGCTAATGAGATGAATTTCGTTCGTGCTTTAATGTTTACAAGTTTTATAAGGTAATCTCTTATAATTTAAATATCTCGTAAATTCATCTCAAGTGATCGGAGATTAACATTTAATTACTTATAATAATCAAGTGATAGTCAGAGGTTTTAATACGAAGTTCAAATGAGAGTTCGCTATTCCGTTACATAAAAGTTTATTAAATTTACAAAATAAATACAATTTTTAATTACATGTTTTACGCGAAACTATAAATACAGTTTGTCGGCAAGTGGCAAACTGACTGAGTACCGAACTTTCAAAAGAGACGGGTAGTCACTGGATCATTTTATTAACTTAAAATTTAAAATACGAGGAAGTTCTTGTAAACAACGTGTCCTCTGTAAGGACTGCATGCTCCAGTGTGTACCAATTTTGAATATTTTGATTCTATTCGCATGTCTCTTGCATAACTTCCATTTGACGAATTATTATTATAGTATTTGCAAATTTTTATTCATTCAAATTTTTTTCTTCTTTTCCTCTATCGCACTCGCTTGGAACGCACGCTTGGACTGCGGGGCTGCACACTAACAATCAAACACACACACATACGGTGACGGTATGTATATTAACGTAACCCAATCCATTGCTGCCTACCTTATTTATACCAGAATATGGCGACGAGCAAGACGTAATAGAATTAGTGCCTAATATAATCCTGAACCCTGGTTTCATGGAGTCGGACCCGGTACGACCTCGAGAGACGTATGCGGCTTCTATTATCAAGTCAACGGAGTGTCCAGGCCCTGGAAAACCACGACGAGTCTGATTCTCGTCTATTCTTAACCTTAGGATATTTTATCGAACCGATTCTGGACTAGTGTCATGATATAACTGATTTTAAATCGTTTGCTATTTAGGATTTGAACTCTTAACGATCTAATTGTGATTTACAAAAATAATTAAAAATTTTAGTACTTTCAACTGATTTAAAACAAGGCGGTACTGAATTCGGTTTTTTTTTATATTTGTTACCTCATAACTCCGTCAATTGTTAACCAATTTGAAAAATTCTTTTTTATCTAAAAGTATATATTTACAGATTGGTTCCATAAAATTTTTATCAAAATCCGTTTCGTAGTTTAGTTTTTAAATCAAAATAACTGATTTTGTTACAGTTGTAATCCATTATTTTTATTATAAAAAATATTAAATAAATAATTAATATTCATTTACAATAGATTTACAGAGTTCATGCCTAAATCGCTATTTAAAATATGAGAATGCCATTTTTGTCAATTTTTGCCTATGAACTTGAAATTTTACAAAATAAAAAAATATATATTGAAGCAAGGTTTTAGCTAAATCTGGAAATATATTTTCTGAGAAAAAAAAAGTGTATCAAAGGCAGCTCATTACCTCTGTATACATAAAATGATTGTAGTTGGACAGTGCGGTTAGTCGCAACAGTTGTTGAACTTATGATTCTTGTTGCTTTGGAATTAAGTTCAAAATTGGTGAACTGTTTTCAACTACTTTTATTCCTGACTATACAAGGGTAAGAGGACACATATCATGCGCTACGCAGGCTTATCTTAAATCGAGTCGGTGTGATAAAATATGCTACAGGTTGTTATATATTGTGCTCGATTATGACTTATTATAAGTGCTTATCAAGTTGTTTTTTCAAAAGTTTATGTCAACACACAACAAACATAGCAAACAGTTTTGAATCATATTAAATCTATAGAAAATTCTCTTAAAATCCTCAGTTTCCACATTTATATGAGGTATAATAATACTCTTATACCTTTAAACAAAAACGAATTGTTAATATAAATTAATATGAATTGAAATCCAGTTTTGGGCATATTTATAAATAAAAATCATTAGGAGTGATAAAATTGTTTTTATATAGCTTTTGAAAAAACAATTTGGTGTAACATTAGCTTAAACACTGAGAGAGATCACTTTTAGTATTGTAAGCGTTTCATGTTTAATGTTGAGGTTGCCACCTTGCCATTATTGGATATACAACTTTGCAGTACATTGTTGCAGTTCAAACTCTTACTTTGTTATTTTATATACGAACTGATGCTTGCAATTTATAGTGTTTATACTTATACACATTAATATATAAGTCTGCCGTATGGATTCTTTATCATTCTGGCAACCCCAAATTGCTACGTACATTTTTATGACTCGTATTGCTTACCGTTCGAAGTGAATTGTTAATGTTGCTAGTTCTAATTATAGTAATTTTTAATTATATATTTTTTGCAATATTAGATATATTTTTATAACGAGATCTCACTTAATTAAGGCATTTATATTTGATAAATGTATTTGTTTTAATTTTTTTATTTAATTGTGATTTCATGCTGTGATTTGTGTTTGTTCGACATATTTATTATGGTCATGTAAGGTATGGTAACAGTAAGTGTGTATATATTATAATCTTATATATATATTTTTGAGACTGGTGCGAAGGTATAGTATATAACTTATTAGGAATTAGTATTTATAGAATAGAATTGTATATTGCTGATTTGAGCACATTGGAAAGTAAGCTTTCAATAATAGAGCTTCCCGGTCGTGTTTGCTTGAAGGCCATCCACAAATATGTCACATTGTTATGACGACAATATTGTAGTGATTATTGTTCATGTTATAGTGGTTAAGTGTGACACTCAAAGGCAATGATGCAGTGAGTAGGTGCGGCGATGTCGTGGTAAAGTTGTTATTGTAAGTTTGTAAAACAAATCATATTTTTACATTTAACTCAATATTGTTTTGATTTAAAGGGATTTGATTATCAATGATAATATTTTCTATTGTGTGTTTTTTTTTTCTTTATTTATTTATACAATTCAAATATTAAAAACCACGACTAACCAAAGATATAAAGTTTTATAGTAGTATAATATGGATTATAATGATGTTATCAAAGTGAAGGAGGGTTTATTTTTGTATACAGTTGTACGCATATCAGGTAAAGCCTTAGAACATAAAAAATGAGTATATATGGTTACATAACCTTCCCTTCTGTCCTAAATACCTGTTTGTTAATTTGCGCTGTTACGAATATACCTGTTATAACACTTTTTAGATATCATGTTTGAAGTTACCCCAAAGCGTGTTGGGGTAATTATGAACTTTCATTTTTGTAAGTACCTAAATTATTATAATAACTGAGAAATTAATTTTATAGTGTTATTAGAATATTATTGAGTGGATGGGATAGAAATTGTAACATCGCAAATTGTCGTCTCTTTCCATTCTTGTGTAGCTCATTGCCTCTTGGTGTATTCACTTCTTGACGTAATTTCTAACGTAAATGACTATGTATAGTATTGGGTATTCCATGTGATTGGTTATTATTATTGTATTTCGATTAATACAAGTACGTTTGTAAAATAATAATTAAAGATTACACAATGTTGTTGATAATTGAAAATCTAAACGTGTTCAAACATCAGTAATTATTCGAAATAACTTACTTTTTACCAACCACATGGTCTGACTGCACTAAAACTTGTATTCCTAACTGTGTTGTGCTCTCTCTGCATTTATAGCTAGTATCTTATTGTATCTATTACGTCCGTCTTGCAATATATAAATGTGCTAAGATGTCAATTATATATATATCTCAGTATACATATATATAACTGAGTATAGTTCTGTGTTTGCACTGTTCAATTTATAACGCTATGATCGAACGTGAAGTAGAAAGCTTGGGTATGGAGGAGCATCTTTCATCCATATAGCTCTTAATTGTATCATGTTTGAATACTTGATTAAGTGATTCATTAAATTTTAAATATCAAGCATCGAGCAATATCATCTGAATAGATATTATTAATACAAAAAAAAACTGCTTGATAATTTGTTCCGATATAAAAAGTTGATTTTACATTTATTTATATTCTTTTTTTTTTTGTTAAGTTGCATGAATTATATGAATTATTTCAAATCATAAATGGAAAATATTTTGATATATTTTTATATGTAAAGCCCATTTTTTTTAATAAAATAAAAAAATATTGGCTTTACGTATAAAAATATATCAAAATATTTTCCATTTATGATTTGAAATAATTCATGACCAGCTAAATTTTTGAAACAGTTATTTAGTCACTTCGATCATAGTAGTGTGTGTGCACCCATATAAAATTCACGCTAATAAATTTTAAACTTTATTATATAAAATTACTTATTTTTATATGATGATGATGATGATGAGATGAGGGTTTTGTACGGGTATTTGTGATGTGTTTAATCATTTGTGGCACATGTAGGAAGGAAAGCAAATTGATTGATTACACAAAATGTATTTTATAAGAGTAAAAATCTTCCATACGACCCGAGCGACGAATTGATGAGTGTAGTTGTCGGTTACGTCGACCAGTCACAGGCGAATTAGTGAAACCTAAATAATATCGCGGAATTATTACCACTCGGCATATCAAAAATAAATCGTTACCACAAAGTGTTACAAACATATGTGGCAGTAAACATCAGACACTTAAAATTGGTTGATATTAATAATAATACAGGAAGTTGGCAACGAAAACCCATAAATGTACATAAGGCTGTATAGGTACTTTAGAAAAAGTAACGTGTATATTGCCACAATAGTGAAATTTAGTATTGAATTGTATCTCTTAGTCGCTATTGCTTTTAGTCAAATATTCACGAAATAACGTTCGTACATTACCTGGCTGTGTTTGTGACTGGTTATAGATATCGCAAAATGGCATCGCGGTGAGGTCATAACAAGTTTTCCAAAATATATTTTAATTTTTTTCACCTTAAATTGTATTGTACAATATTTTTGGTAAATCTATTTATGATTTATTAAAACAAACACGAGAACAATGGAAATTAATATATTTTTGGTAAATTTAGAATATTATAATAACAACAAAAAAAAAAAGACAAAAGAATTACAGATCCATGATATATTACATTGTATTGAAAGTGCTTCTTTAACACAATTTTTACTATTTTTAATTGGCATGTCAATAATGTAATTATATATTTATTAATATAAAATATTATATTTAATTAAACAATAACTATTCAATATTTTTTCAATTATAAAACTTTATACATATGTAATAGTTATTTGAATAATCATTTATTATTAAATCAAATTCCCCTTTGTTTTAAATTACCCCACTAATTAATGTTAAATCACAAGCACATATATATTTTAAACATGAGTTTCACTGCGATGCTCTCATTTAGTAGGATAAGAATTTATTAGCTAGGGGTGTATTATTAGCTTAGTAATTCGAACGCTAGCGTAGGCAGGCACTTAGCAGTAGGTCGCGGGTTCGAGAGTCAAGACTGAGCTGCGAGGGTGTGAGGTCCCTGTTTGTATCTTTATTGATTACAATTACCCCAAAGATCGAAGTTACCCCAAGTATTATTTTTATATACAACATATCAAAAAACTAATCCTTTAATATTTTCATTGTCATTTTGTCCAAATAAAGTTTTGCTTTTCCGCATTGATCGTTTTTTAATTAGATTTTTTATATTTGAGTACAAACGTACTTTCCAAGCTTTACCTCACGCCCTCTCTATTCAGACAGACAAGAATGGTATTCAACAATATTGTGCCTATAACGTGAATCGAGTTTTGCACCGCTCTCACTAGTATAGCTCGTCAAATTCATGCGCAGTGCTCCTACGGATTGATGTATGGGAGGATGGGGTACTGCGCATGAAGTTGACAACTTATAATCGTGATGTACGTATTACATTGACGTATTCTTATTGTATTGGTATAAATTATTTTATGTATTAAGCAGTACTCACTACATAAATTTTAATGTTATTTCTATCTGCAATTCTGCATTTCTATTTCTTATCCATACGTAATGTTATTTTAACAAAATAATTCTTAAATCTCTTAAATGCAGCGTTATTTTCATTCAGTTTAACTGTCTACCCTAAAACTGTTAAATTCTAAATTGAAGCATGATTGGTAAAGGTAGCTATTATGCATGAGCATGGATTTATTTTGTAACTAATAAAATTGTTCATTATTCTAAGCAAACCTCTGGCAACACTCGTGTTCAATAAGAATTGTTTCCAATCGTCGTTGCCAAATTTGAAGACGATCTACCTAATAAACTCTAGAAGAAGATGTTAATATTCATTTTCCATGAATATTCAAAGCTGTATTTGCTTGTCTGGATGAGTTATTTAAGGCTCAATCAATAATGTTGCCAGTGTAAAAATTTACACAATAGCTAAATTACCGTTAAATGCAATTAAATGTTGCTCGTAATAGTATAACTCGGCTGTCTACAACCGTCACGATTTGGCACATAATCGGTAGAATCGATTGGTAGTCACTAGTTAATTGGCATGTCCAAACATGAGTTTGTCAGTCGGGAGTTCGTATTGATATCGATTCCATCGATAATCGATTCCATCGATAATCGATTCAAAATTGATTACTATCGAATGATATGAGTAGTAATAATGCACGGTAGAATCTAAATAAACCAATCGATAGTAATCGAAATTTCGCAAACGTTGTACTGTCTCGTCGATGCTTTCCCCAATTATTTATACATTTTTAATTAAATAAATGAATATTTAATTACACTTTTTTAATTAAATAAATGAATATTTAATTATACGTTTTTAATTAATTAATTTAATTAAAAATGTACAACCTTCCGGTAAAAAAACATTATGTTGTGTTAAAAATAAGCAGATATGTTCCTCGCTTGTTACTAAACGATAATTATTTAAAGGTGTTTTTTTTTTCGTCTTACTTCTATACGTGGATACTATAACCTGCCAGATTAGTATGCAGCACTTCCACTGGGTTATAAATGTGATTAGAGGGAGGGAAAGTATAGTATAGCGTAAAGCGAGTGCTCTATACTTCCCCGATACTTCACTTTGCTCCGCGTAAATGTTTTTACCTTGCTTCCCGCGCGCACCGCGCACACTCTTGGAAGTCCTGTATTCGAAGTTGACGATTTATAAGTATTACATTTTAATCGTGGACTTATTAATTAACTTTTTTTTATGTAATAACTAACGGATTAACTTACGTGTAATTAGATCGAGTAAACTCGGTCAGGTATAAGCTCGCGTCATAGCCGCTCATGAGTAATGATCACGAGTTGGTCCCGAAACTAGTCGAGTTTTCTTGATCTAATTACAAGTAAGTTAAACCGGTAGTTATTACATTAAAATATAATGTGTGTTTACGAGACTTTTAACAATAAAATAATTGGTTGACTTCCTTATTTTAATATTGTTCCGTTTATATACAACTACATAGTCCTCAGGAATGGCAACGCATGGGGGGTATCATGGGCGAAACAGTATACTCTGTTATGTCCATGGTACTGCTCATGTATATAGGCGACGGTTACCACTTTCCATCAGGTGGGCCGTCAGCGTGTTTGCCATTCTAAGTTGTATAAAAAAAAGAAAAGTATATCTGTGCTGGAATTGTATATTGAACAAAAAGCTAATGTGTCATACGCCGCGTTGCCTCTACTACTATAGAGCTAAAACATAATTTTTACTTTACATTAAAGTAAATTATTTTAGGCTAAGGTTGCCTTTAGAATACGAAGCACGTCCATTTTGATATGGCAGCGAATGGTTTGTCTGTTTTTTTTTTTTTTGATTTGCCATTCTATTTCTAATAATAATAATATTAAGATTAAATATACCTGTTTCGAATTGATTGCGATATATTTTTACGATGTAAGTTTGTAAATTAAGTGTAGTTTTACAAGTGTACAAGTTTGAGGAGAGATGGATTCATCGATCGTTGTACGATAATGTAATTTAGGTTTTTACAAAGCGGTGAAATGGATGAAAATTATGTTAACCTACTATTTATTTATTATAAGGATTTGTTTTTTTTTTTTTTTTCATATTGGAAATTGACGCAAAAGAGAAAGACAATAGTTAAAATTGATTAAAATACATTTATTAGGCATTCGTTGTTTTTAAATAAGAAAATTAAATTTTATATTGTTCAAATACATATTAATTTAAATAAATGTATTTATTTACATTAATATCTATTAGGAATTGTTGTAAATAAGAACTCCATAACTTAATCATAAAACTAACAATCTATGGTTTAATGATAATATCTATTCAAATACTATAACATTCATGTTGTAAGTAACATGTGTTCGGAACCGATTTTTATAATTGTAAAACCATATCGTCATAGTCGTAGAATACTGACGGTTCTGACGAATATTACATATACAGATCCGTCAGTATTCTACGACTATGACGATATGTAACTAATAAATAAATAAAATAATAATGTAACATAATTTCTGTAATTCTGTATTTTTGTGATAATAAAAAAAAAAAAAACTACAACATGAGCGACCTCTGTACGCACCTCGATATTCACACGATGAATCTATCTTTCTACTTGTCCATGAAAGCTTATTATGTACATGTATAACAGATGACAGTACACGTAATCGCTTTGTCCTATCTGCCGTCTACAATAGCCGTAGTGAATCTGTGGTCACCGTCACATTCACATTACTGTTTACTCGCTGCTAACTGAATGATACAATCATCTGTTGGATGTAATGATGAAATAGATATTTAGATTGAGTTTAATGACAATTTTAAAGCTTATAATAACTACTATAATACGAATATACATTTGGAAGTAACATGTTTTGATCATTGTTACATAATATTGATTTGGATCCGGCTCGAAGGATCAAAATGTATTTTGTTGCCGTCTTTTAATAATTATACAATTAATTTTTGGCCCTAAATTGGCTCTAAAACCCTAATTTAATCCGATTACATTTCGAGTTATGAGTTTCTACATATAATTTATCTCAAATAAAGATTTGAGTGTTAACTGAAATAACAATACGATAAAGATAGCGTTTTGGTAAGGTAACGTATACAATACGTTGTTTCTCGTTCTAGTTAGCAGCGGGTAATTCCCTCATAAAATTCCAACGGGTGTGCCTCCAGTGCATACGCACAATGATATTGTATACAGGGTGACATCAAAGGTGTTAGTCACATGTACAATTGAAAATCTTTCCATCCTATAGAATATATTAGGACACAAATTTTGTAAATCGAAAATTCAATAATGACAAATTTTTAGCCTTTCATATTAACTGGCTGGTCGCAACATTTTAGTATATAGGAGAGGGTTGTTAGTAATGCAGAATACTAGTCGCATTATTAGTAATATGACCCAGTCAGGTCGACCTTCACGTGGAAACTTTATTTAGCGCGTTAAATTCCAGATGCATCACTGGTCCCTCGCCAGTCTATACTGTTAGCGCAGGGGTTACCATTCTATTATCATCCATTAAAAAAAAAATAGTATGGGTGGTTCAAAATTTTTATGCGTTTTTCAATCAATTTTATTTCAATTCTATGGTGAAAATGTACTACACATTTTTCCCTAATAGGATATTTTCTTCAAAAAATGCTAATGATATCACCCTGTATTTTTATTGCTCATAGTGAACTAATTGTTTTATATTACATGTGTAACTGACTGATAAAAATAAGTGATACGATCCAAAAATTTAAACTTTATTGTTATTATTTTTAACGATACTAAAGAATCTCGTTGATATTCCAAAAACAGATGATTTTTTTTTCTTATACGTTTTATTTATATAATGGTTTAAGATATTCGAAATAAAAAAAAATATTTTATTTAATAAGTTTACACATAAGAAAATATTGTAAGTGATATATTTTATGTTATACATTTATTTGTTTTGTAAGTTCCCTTAGACAGTTTCTAATTAGATATCCGATGGAAAAAACATTCTTAATCCAAGCTTTGGTCCACTTAAAAATAAAAAAAAAATTGTATGTTTTTCAATAACCTAACTTTTGCACAATGCATATAATTACTAATTACCTTACATTGACAAGTAGTTCCTAAAATGCTAAACTTTAGTTCTTTAAGAACTCATACTTTTCTGAAAACGATACAGAATTATAATCGCGCCAATAATCGGATGTCTAATTAGAAACATGTCAAAGTAAATGTGAAACGGAACGTACCTATTTGTTGTTTTAAATATGAAATTGTGATGCCCGTTCTAGGCACAATAGAGTTAAACACCGTTGTTGTAATGTTGGAAATCATTCCCATTAAAACTACATTTTACACATGATAGCTATATTTTATTTATAACCTCTTTTATTTATTTATTTTAACTTTAATGCATAGTAAAATTACGTACATATGGCGGACTTAACACCGGACGGTGTTATCTACCAGTCGACCATTGGACAAACCGAGAAATAAGTAGGCGGTGCATTATTGAATTGAGGAAATATAAAAAGTAATCTATACTTATAATAAATCTTGTAGAGAAGTCAATTCTGTACATGAAATATATTTCCAAAATAACTATTAGGGGGTGATTGGTGATCGATACTGATGCCAAAAATGCAATCAGTGAAATTTTTGTCTATAAACAAAAACTAGTCGACGGATTTTAACGAAACTTGGTACAATTATTCTTCATACTGCTGGGCAGGTTACAGTGTACTTTTCATCACGTTACGATCAATAGGAGCAGAGTAGTGAAGGGAAATGTTAAAAATGTCCACCCGTGCGCCGCCGGGACCAGAGGGAGACTTTGTACAAAAGTCGATTGCTTGCGTACCTCTGTCCCATTCGTGTTTCAACCGTGAAGCAGTTGTGTTTGCATGGCTGTGTTTCGGTTTGAAGGGTGGGATATGACGTGAATTTACTGGGTACAGAAGAATAACACCTGAGTCCTCAGGAATGGCAACGCATGGGGGTATCATGGGCGAAACAGTATACTCTGTTATATCCATGGTACTGCTCATGTCTATAGGCGACGGTTACCATTTTCCATCAGATGGGCCGTCAGCTTGTTTGCTATTCTAAGTTGTATAAAAAAAAATAATCAATGTACGCTGAATGGTAACCATACAAAATAAAGTTAGTGTTGGGTATTTACATTCGAGTATTGGTGTTGTAGGTGTCACAGGCTACAGTGACCGTCCATTACCATCACCATTAAACGGACTGTATGCTTGTTTGCCACCTTTGTAATATAAAAAAAAGTGATTTACAAATGGCGAAATCTTTCACAAATATTTTTAATATAATTACAAATATAACATTTCTAAAATATTTACTGTCCTCTGAGATCAAAGTAAAAATAAGAAAATTTACAAACTATCCACAGTAGTAAATTTTTTTTATCACGTGATGTAAAAAAAACCAGACGTCAAAAGTATGTTGTTGTTGCTGTGTACTCCACTAAGAATATATGAAAACCGGTGAGTATTTATTATTTACTGTATCTTCCAAATTTGAATCACGGCGTAATGCTATCCAAATCTGAATCCAAGTACTGAAACAAAAATAAACATTCTTTACATGCATTATCTATAAATCTGAGTCTCACTGATGTATTACTAAGAATATAAAGTATCATATAAAACTGGATACGCATGGCGAAGGAAAGGGTCATTTGGCAGAGCAATAGAGGCCTATTCCTAACACTGGATAAATTCTGGCTAAATTAAATAGATCATTTCATTATCATTTCAGCCGTTTACTGTCCACTGCTGTACATAAGCCTTCCCCATAAGGTGAGTTTTGCAAGTAGTTGCTACGCTTGGTAGACGGGTTGACAACCTCATTTAGGTTTTTTTTGATGAGTGAAAATGGTACGGTAATCCCGCCTGTGCTAACGGGATACGCTGGTGGAGCACCAGTGATTTGCTAGCAATAGGATTCTCAGTCTCCATTATTAACAATCTCTTTCCTCCCACCTCATTTAGGTTTTTAGAGATGTTTTAAAAGGGATGCTGCTACCCATACCTTCACCACTTTCCTTTAGTCGCCTTTTACGACACCTACGGGAACCGAAGGGGTAGCCTATACTATGTCAAGACCACACTATGCAGAGCTAATATTAAATAAGTAGATAAAGTATTCAAATTATGAACATAAATCCTCCTTGAATTCTAAACATTTTTTTACAACACAGGGGGCAAACGAGCATGCGGCTCACCTGATGGTAAGTGACTACCGCCGCCCATGATCACCCACAACATCAGCGGCATTGCAGGTGTGCTGCCGGCCTTTTAAAAAGGAATATACTCTTTTCTTGAAGGTTATGTTGTCGTATCGGTTCGGAAATACTGCTGCTGGAAGTTGATTTCAAAGAATGGTTGTGCATGGAAGGAAGTGCCTTGAAAAACGCAAGGTGGCAGACCGCCACTCGTCCAGATGATTGGGATGAAACTTTAGTTTGTGGCGGGTTGTACGGTGGTGAAAATTAACAGCAGGTATCAATCCGAACAATTCCTCAGAAAACATTCCTTATGATAAATTCGGTAGAAGATGCACAGAGATGCAACATCTCTGCGCAGTTTCAGTGGGTCGAGTCGGACAGTAAGACGTTGACTATCGATAATTCGAGCCGCCTGACTTTGAATGCGGTCTAACGGAAGGAGTTGGTACTGTGGCGCTCCTGCCCACAGGTGAGAACAGTATTCCATATGCGGCCTGACTTGAGCTTTATATAATTTCAGGCGGTGTTCCGGCATGAAATACCGTCTCACCCTATTGAGCACGTCATTGGACTCGAGTAATTATTCTCCTTGTTTTCTTTTCGAAGAAAGCAAGCTATTTACAATGATCTGACAAAGTACCTTCAAATCGACATTATGCAATGCCTTCTCTAGCGTCAACAGACTAGGATCATCGGGGGTGAACACCCGACATTCGTCATTAAAAAACCGCTCCATCTTCAACTTCAATTCTTCATTGTAGCGGTGAACACGCTCCATCGCACTTTCTACAGTGTTCAGTGATGAATTCTGAAAACTAAATATCACATTAAAAGGTTTATTTCATCAATTTAGTAAGAAAGAAAATATTTATAAGTTGTATAAAAAAAAAAACATAATTATAACAATATTTAAAATAAACAAAAATTAAAAGAAAAGCACTAAAATGGTGTCACTCAGCTATATGTCATGTTCTTTCGAACATGACGCTAATTTTCAGTGTACATTTAAGATTTGAAATAACTTCAAGATGGCACTCTTTATTTTTAAATAATTAAAAAAAGGATGCTAATAATGGAGTCGATTCTGTGGCGACATTACCTTAAGCCTTTCCCTAAAATTAAAATTAAAATTTGATATAGCGAAATCTTTATTGTAAAAGCCAATATGAAATAAATGTTTAATTAAGAAATTAATTCTTTTGAGTAATATTAATATATGTGTATTAACAAAGGCTCTCCCTGAACACTACAAACTAAAGAAGCATATGGCCCAACTAGGTTTATGCCCAACAATGTGTTTGCAGATTTTGTCATAATGAGAAAGAAACGTCGCAACACTGAATGTGTCGCTGTAACCCACACATACATAAACGATATATATCCTTTGCAAAATACACTTAACATCCTGAGGAAATAAAAAATATCTTAAAATTCCTATCACTGATATAAATTAGCAGCAAACTTAAAAAAAAAAGGGCGTCATCAAAAGATCATGGAAATGTCGCAGTGTCACAAGATTTTCTGTCTGAAAAAGCCCGTCTTTCAATAATAAAAATAATATGAAGTAAATTCCTAATAGATTTAAAAATATAACATTTCATTTATGATGTTCCATAAAATAATAATTTTGCGAAACAATCAAATTAAAAGTTTAGCGAAATGACGCTTCAGAATCGACCCCATTGTATAAGAGATTTTTTATTAGCATCAGGTCATAGGTCGTTACTGATTTCAAAACTAACCTGTAAAGCGAAGTCAGGTATTTAGGCGGGAAAGCGTCATTTGCAGCCTTCATCTCAAGCCAGGGATCACTGAAACTCCTATTTTTGTACTGCATTAAAATAATATATCTATTAATCTCCACATTACCATAGGCAGGGATACATAAGCCTCGGCCCCCTTTATCCTTACATACATCTCTTTCATCATGTATATTTAAACGATTTCAATAATGAGGGACAGTTTGTACAAAAGTCGATTGCTTGGGTACCTCTGTCCCATTCGTGTTTCAACCGTAAAGCAGTTGTGTTTGCATAGCTGTGTTTCGGTTTTAAGGGTGGGATATGGCGTGAATTAACTGGGTACGGAAGAATAACACCTGAGTCCTTAGGAATGGCAACGCATGGGGCGTATCATGGGGGGTATCAAAATTTATATAGGAGCAGTCTTTAAGTATATCTTTTCAGATAAAAAATATCCAAATCAGTTTAAAACTGACGGAGTTATAAAGTGACACATAAAAAACACAACCGAATTCAGAACCTCCTTTTTTTTTAAGTCGGTTGAAAAAAAATTACTCTGTTTATTTCTAATACGGTTTTTGTGCAGACTCAGATTCCGCGTTAAAATACATGTGACATCCTGGTGGGAATCTAGCAGCCCCATTTCTGATAATACGAGGTCTACCTCTATGCAATACCTTCTGGAAACCATCATGGTGCATTCCTAGTGAATTCGTCACGATGGACCAACTGACCTGTCTTCATCATCATCTATCACAACTCCCTTAGACCTTACCGACCTACCCTATCTATTAACAATTAGTAAAAAGGACTAGCGGCCCCATTGCTAACTAAACATGGTAGTGCCACGTCGATCTCCAAGCGGTTCCCCATGGAAACCGCTATAATTAATTCTTGATGAATTTATTTATCCAACTGACTTGCATTTCATCCTCATCTATCATCCCTCACTATTTCTTCACCAATGTCTACCAAATCTGATAGCACAAACAGGGTAACCTACTAATAGTATAAGAGAAGTCAGCACTCTATTATTGTTTCTAAAAAAAAATTCCTAAAAATTAAAATACGTTTTACTTGCCCTTCTGTACAATTCGTAATCGATTTCCGAATCGGTCATCGCTCTGGACAGCGGTATACTCGAGTCAGTGCTGATAGTGTTCACCTCGTCCTCAGTGGTGGTAGACAGTATGCTGTCGCTCCTCACCGTCAAGGAGTCCGGCTCTGTCCAGTACGGTGAAACTGTTATATCGTCCGGTAAGTCCAATTCGTTCACGAATGTAGAACGATTCTTTGGTATCGATGACAAAAGGGACTCGAACATTCGCATTTTAAATTGAACAATCAGTAGATCGTATTGTTAACTGTAGCTGAAATCAAATAAGGTAATTAAAATATAAAAAGTTAAAATGTAGAAGTAATAATAAAAGTTAAAATATATAAGTGTTAGGCGTTAATAATCCTGGCACTTATATATATATATATATATATATATATATATATATATATATATATATATATATATATATATATATTATACAACTTAGAATGGCAAACAAGCTAACGGCCCACCTGATGGAAAGTGGTAACCGTCACCTATAGATATGAGCAGTACCATGGACATAACAGAGTGTACTGTTTTGCCCATGATACCCCCCATACGTTGCCATTCCTGAGGACTCAGGTGTTATTCCTCTGTACCCTGTAAGTTCACGCCATATCCCACCCTTCAAACCGTAACATAGCCATGCAGACACAACTGCTTCACGGTAGAAACACGAATGGGATAGAGGTACCCAAGCAATCGACTTTTGTACAAAGTCTCCCTCTGGTAAAATGTTCTCCGATATTGATCCCTTTATAGGGTCGAAAATAAAGTTTAAGAATGAGATAAAACGGCGTATGGCGGTAATATGTAATTAACGTTTTTAATTTGTTGTCAAAGATTTCTTTTTTATATAATTTTCCTTAATATACAGTCAGAAGTCTTAATTTTTCCTAATTTTTTTTTTATTCTAAATTATTATCTATTTTTTTTTTTATTATTTAACGGTTATACAGGTATTATTTTCAAATAGTGTGTTTTTCTGAAAAAATGTTTTATTAACTTCTGAGCATTATTATTGACAATGTTGCTGTAGTTTTCAATAGTATTTGTTTGTTTATATTTGTTTAATTTTGTTTAATTTAGTATTGTCTGTTTTTGTGTTTCCTTTACGTGTATTTTATTTGTGCAAATTCTAGTGGCTGCCAAATTACTATTTAAGTATATAATTATGTATTGTTCGAGCTGTTTGTTTGCCTTAAATAAATAAATAAAATAAAACTGTATATCGTTACTAATTGCCTAGGCTATCAATCAATATACCCAACTAATGTAGCTGTCAAACTTGTTAACCTTCTTCTATAAATTTATATATCAATTTGACTTAATACATTCTTTATAACAAATAATATTCCTATCATTAAGCTAAATGCAGTTAATGGGGTTAATAGATGTGGTGGCGGCAGTTTTTTTAACCCTTCTTTGCATAATGGTGGAAATTTCCATCATAACATTGAATGCCTAAACTTTTGTAAATGTGCTAATGTATAAAAAAAAAAACTTATATAAAAGACGAAGTACACTTAAGTTGATCGTGTCTGGATACCTTTTTAATGTCCATTGCAGAAAAAAAACATAACTGTCAAATTTATTTTTTTAACCATTTTTCCTTTAATTTTGAACATAAATTATATGACTTTGATTTATTTCACTAATAAAAAAAATCATGAAAAAAATTATATATTTAATTTTCTTCCACAAAAAAAAACAACTTTGTTTGTGACAAAATCCGTTACTTTGATATAAAAACTAAATCACTGAATCAGTTGTAATAAAATTTCTATTGAAATCTGAGAGTACATCGTTACATAGATAAAAAAAAAATTCAAATCGGTTTACAACTGACTTAGTTATGAGGTTTTTTTTTTAATAGGTGATAATGAAATGGTTACCCCACCTGCGCTACCGGTATACACTGGCGTGGCACCAGTGACAGATGATATGTAAGGATGAAGCAGGTCAGTTAGCCCATCGTGACGAATTCAACAAGAATTATTCACGCCAGTTTCCAGGGGAAACCGCGTGGAGGTTGACCTGATAGGGTATATTGCTAGCAATGGGGCAGTCACTTCCCCCCTCAGTTATGAGGTTAAAACACACAAAAAAAATAACCGAATGAACCTCCTTTTTTTAAAGTCGGTTGAAATGTTATATACCTAGTCACCACTAGCTCTAGATAAATATAGACATAAAAATTTATCACCAAAGTGCGATTTTATTACTTACAGATATAGGTATTTAATGTTATTTATAACTACTTAACTAACTGTAATAAATTCTCAAGGCTACAATCTCAGGAGCAAAATTTTTTTTTTATACAACTTAGAATAGCAAACAAGCTGACGGCCCACCTGATGGAAAGTGGTAACCATCGCCTATAGGCATGAGCTGTACCATGTGCATAACAGAATATACTGTTTCGCCCATGATACCCCCCATGCGTCGCCATTCCTGAGGACTCAGATGTTATTCCTCTGTACACTGTAAATTCACGCCATATCCCACCCTTCAAACCGTAACACAACCATGTAAACACAACTGCTTTACGGTTGAAACATGAATGGGACAAAGATACCCAAGCAAACCACTTTTGTACAAAGTCTCCCTCTGGTAAATTATAATTACTATTGTAGCTTATGGCGATAGAGTAAGGATAAAATATGACATTACACTTTTATGTCTAGGAATCGACTAAGGAAGCAGCGTATCTTTTTTCCATTAGACCTTATACATCATATCAGCCTTTAACTGGCCACTGCTGAACATAGACCTCTCTTTCGAGAGGTTTTATCAGTTGCCACGCTTGGCAAGCGAATTGGCAACCGCAGTTATTCTTCAACGATGGTTTAAGAGGGACGCTGCTGCCCTTCCATCGCCCTCCCTTAGTCGCATCTGACAACACCCACGGGAAACGAAGGGGTGGCCTATTTTATGCCGAGACGTATACGGCTGAATTAATAGGATGTAATGGTTATGTTGTAAATACTAAATTACCTCACGTGGATCGACTCACGTAGTCCGAAGTCCAACAAATGCAAGTAGTGTCAGAACGTTTAACAGCAAATACTCGTATTGTGAGAGACAGTTTGATCAATACGTGAGACTAGCCACGCAACAAACCGTGTCGCTGTAAAAAAAAAAGAGGTCGTCTCAGAGACGAACTCACGAGCTGAGGGTTGCGTACAAAAAAATATGTTATTGTAAACACCCCCTGGTTTTTTTTTTATTAAACTTATTTTGTCTACTGCCCACTTTGAAAATAAATTATTTTTTAGCGCCCCCATTTTTGACCCCAGATCTGGTCATTATCCATCAAAAAAATTTGCACATACGATGGGAAAGTCCTTGTCACCCCATTGTCAAATTTGTAATACCATCGATGATGTGCATCACATTCTATCAGAGTGTCGTATTAACACGAAGGAAAGAGAAGAATTCATGCGCGATTTTAACTTGAATAAATTGAATGTTGGTCTTATTCAATCTATGTTAGCTGAACTTGAAACCAGAAATTTTTTAACATCTCTGTAAATTATTGATGCCCATTAATTCTTCTCTTTCCGCGTCTAGGGAAAGTAAATAAAGTTTTGTTTGAGAAATCAGTTCAGGGTACGATAGGACTGATATACCTGAAGAAGGTAAAAGCCCTTAAAATAATAATAAAAAAAAAATCCAAAAAGTTGGATCAGCAATATCTTAAACTATTCCACACTACACATCAACAGTTGTTGAGATATATCGCTGTGACAGACGGACGGATAGATAAACAAAGTTTTTGAACCATCTGGTACGGAGTTCTAAAAATTTATTTATGTACATATAATGTTTATACATTTAGAACAGTTATCAGTTATTTCTAAAATATTAAATAAGTATGAGTAATTCACACATGTGTGAATAATATTTACGTAATTGTGTGTGTGTACAAATAAAAATAGCAAATGGCGGACAAGCGAACCGTCTGTGCAGTTTGTTGTATTTACTCGAAACCATTGTAGTCAATTCTCGTCGAATACTTTACGATGGCCAAATGGCCTGGTGACCCATGACAGTATACGATGGACTGTTATTTTTTTTATGGATGAAAATGGTATGGTAACCCCGCCTGCTCTAACGGGATACGCTGGCGGAGCACCTGTGAAGGGTGATAGATGAGAATAAAAACAGGCCAGTTAGCCTACATGATGAATTCATCAGGAATTAACCATGATAGTTTCCAGGGAGAACCGCGAAGAGGTCGACCTGGTTGGGTATATTGCTAGCAATGGGATTCTCAGTCTCCATTACTAACAATCCCTTTCCTCCCCATCGTATACTGTTAGCGCAGGCGGACTATTTCATTTTAACCCATAAAAAAATACCTGTATTTTGAAACTACTTTTAACCAACTTCAAGTGGGGGGAAAGGGATTCTTAGTAATGCGGACTATCAGTCCCTTTACTAGCAATATACTCTGTCAGGTCGACCTCCATGTGGTCCCACTTGGAAACCATTGTGCTGAATTCCAGATGTACTCATCACGATGAGCTAACTGACCTACCTTTTCATTCTCACGTATCACCCCTGACTGGTGCCCCGTCAGCGTATACCGTTAGCGCAGGCGAGGTTACCATTCCATTATCATCTATTAAAAAAAAATTTCAAGTATGAGGACTTCAACTAGACTGTTTATTTTTTATGTATATGTAACGAGATTCGTTAATTTTTTTTTATTATGAACATTAACCAATTTTTATGTTCTTTTTTTTAATCAAAAAGTTTTTTTTTTCATTATGATAAGGTCCCATATTGGCAAATTTAGTTGAATTAATAAGATTGCAACATGATTACTTTTAATAATTCATAAAGGACAAATCCAAGCCATTTATGTTGACGTTCTTAAGTACTACAAAAAAATTTTTAATCATTGTTTAGACAAAACTCTGTGTAAACGGTTAAATATTGTTCAGTCGGTGTAACAAAGTTTATTAAATAAATATTATGTATTTATTTATTTTATACAAAAATCTACAGCTCTTAAAAACGCAACTTACATGCTAAGTCTTTTATGAATACAGTCAAAAACGGATTTTATTTATACAAATGAAAATTATGTGCTAAAATTAATGAATTATTGTAATAAATATTACTGCTTTATACACATTTTGTATTTAAAAACATAGATTTTCTTTTGTGTAGATATAAACAGATGTTAGACACGCCTTTGTAGTAACACATCTAAACATGTATTTAAATTTATTTCATTAAGTTTAGATACATACAGGTTTAGAGTGTTTGAGAAATATCAAGCGGTTAAGAACAAACCAGCTACTCAATATACTGGCTTACTGTGTGGAAATGTATGTAATTAAATACAAATTTTGTTTTTGTACATATTGCTAATTTTTATTATGTGTATCATTCTTTAAAGGGAACAATCGATAGTTTTCATTCATTCATTCATTCATATTTTTTTTATTGGTGATATAAATCAAGGTGATATAATTTATGTTCAAAATTAAAGAAAAATGATCAAAAAATAAATTTGCCATCATATATATATAAACAGCTATGTTTTTTTTTTCTGCAATGGACATTAAATAGGTATCCAGACACGATCAACTTAAAGTGAACTTGTTCTTTTATATAATTTTTGGGCATTCAATGTTATGATGGTAATTGCCACCATTATGCAAAGAAAGTTTAACTTTTTTGTGGTGAGACGGTGAGTGGTCTAGCATAGCATTCTCTTTAATTATATATATACATATTTGTCACGCTTTTCTCCTATTGGGGTAGGGAGAAACAATGTATAACGCCAAATGCTTCAATTCAAACAAGCCTCTTTCGCTTTTCCCTACATTCATTAATCTTTTCATACACGCTCGCCGGTTACGGGTACTTTTAATTTGGTCCTTCTTTCACAAGTCGTCTATTTGGTCGAGATACATCCACCTAGAGTCTAGAGCGACCCCTACCAACATCTCCATTTATTCTGGCTCGATAAACCTCTTTCGTAGTTCTTCTTTCATCCATCCTCTCCAAATGGTCCAACCAACGCAACATTCCCTATTCGATTTTTGTCACTACATCGTCTTTCAGTCTCTCTTCTCTCTCTCTCTCATTTCTCCCTTCAATTATACTAATAATATTGATTCCATCTGTATATTATAGGAAAAATTTAATACTGTTTGTATTTTCCCAAATTAATAAATAAAACTAGTCGTTTGTATTGTTTATAATTACTCTTCTCCATCCTGGAAGAGACCGCTCTTAGCTATAAGGTCGCCCGTTGTTTTCTCGTTGTGATTATTTCTTGTAATTGTTTATGTTTATAACAAGTTTACTATTGTAATCTTTTGGAGGGAACAATAAAGAGTGTCTATCTATCTAGTGGGGCATCCCTGAATTTAAAACGTGAGTAAAGTCCACATAAATAGTTACAGTAACATACAGTATGATTCACGACAGTTATTATTGAACAAACAAAATTAATTCATATAACGCTTACATATGAAAATAAATACATACATTATTGAAATGAACACAATGGAATATTTAGTTTTTGTCTATCTAATATAAATATTTTTTTGATCTCTAAAGTCTAGTGTCCTAATTTACTATCTAATTACTGTGTCTCTAATTATTTTCCAATCAATTGTTTTAGTAAAATAATTAATAGACATTTATAGGGGGAAAGGGATTGTTAGCAATGGAGTTTGGCAGCCCCATTGCTAGCAATATGCCTTATTAGGTTGACCTCCACGTGGTTCCCCCTGGAAACCATCGTGAACAATTCTTATTGCATTCGTTTAGATGGGCTAACTGACCTACTTCATCCTCACCTATCATCCTTCACTGATGCCTCGCCGGTGTATACCAATAGCGCGGGTGGGGTTACCATTCCATTATCATCCATTAAAAAAAAATAGGCATTGATATGGTTTTTTTACAATGAGTGATTTCGAATTCTTGAATAACATAATTGTTTTTATAACTTTTTATTTATTCTTTGCAGGTATGTATGGATATATTTATCCATGAATCATATTTGTATATGAATCATACATGGTAAGTGAGTATAATATATAAATTCATAATACCTAAATATATGTATATATTGTTTTGTTTATTTCTTTAAGTAATGGAAATGCCTATTATTTTTTTTTATTTTAAATAGATCGATAAATTATTTGCATTACTTACAGCAAACAAATACCAACAGACATACATAAGCATACACAAAAAAGAGATGTAAGAATACATATACAAAAAAAGTAAAATACATAAAAAAGCAACATAATTTTTCGTGCTTGTGCCACAGTAACAAAAAATGGTCACAACCCAGTTGCTTTGCCCTCCAAAGAGCAAAACACTGCATTCTGTTGTAGTCAAAAACTAGCCGCAAAATTCCTTGGCTCAAAAAATATATTTATATATATAAAAGTCATATTTATTACAACAATTGTGACAAATAAAAAATTAACATCTACGTGCTATAAATATCAAGAACAAGTTATTAAAAAATTAAAAAACTATTTAAAGATAAAAAAAATATATTTATTAAATTGTATGTGTCCATTACAATTATTAACTATTTAAATTAATTATTAACTAATTAATATACAACAGATACCATTAGAAGGAAGGCACTCATAGATCACTCTGAATCACATTCAAGCACTCAAGCGATAAATATTTCGGCTACATACCTATTTATTATATGTATAATAATTTTATACAATTTTATACATATATATTTATTATACATATTTATATATTACAGTGCTTAGTTTTCTTTTTTTTTTTTATTTTAAGGGCTTGTGCCTTCTTCATGTATATCGACCCTATTGTACCCTGAACTGTTTTCTCATATGAAGTTTTATCTTCTTTCCCTACCCATGAAAAGAGAATAATTAATGGTGGTCAATTATTTATATTTTTAATCTTTTTTTATGGATCTTAGAATATGAAATAAGCTTACGGCCCACCTGATGGAAAGCGGTAACCGTCGTCAATAAGCATAACACCGTGGACGTCAAAGAATACCCGCGGTACCTTTTTTATTATCGTAAAGTTTCTTTTAATATAATTGACTCCCAATCTGAATCCAACATATTCTGTTGTCATCTTTACATTGTATATGTAAACAACAAAATATTTACATATCATGGAATAATTTCATAATTATAATAGTCTAACCTAAGATAAGTCTAGTATCTAAACCAATAATATTCCTACCAATAGGGTTATCATTCGACTAAATTCTACGGGAGTATGTCGTGTGTATCGACTTTCTGTCACACTTTTTAAGATGTATTATTATTATTAAGATGTACCTATCTAGATAGAACAAATGTAACGACCTTTTAATTTTCGTCGTCAAATCTCTTAAACAATTAATCAAATGTCAATCTTAATTAAACTAATTGTTTTTAATTTAAAACGAATTTGCTCTTGGAATATTTTGAACTTATAACTTCGTTTTGTAACTAAAATATCTTTTTTTAATTATCTGTCTCTTATCTAGTTCTCTATGCCTATCATTTTACAAGAAGGAGATTCTCACAAAAATGACCGATTATTCTATAAAAATTGAATAATTATCATTAAAAAAAAACACACGTTTATGCGCGTTATAGTATGGTACGAGTAACACTATGGCCACTATATCCATAGACAATAATTATTATGTCAAAAACTGCAATTTAATAAATCGTTTTTGATCGTGAAAGAGTATCAATTGCGGTTACCGATTACTAGATTATACGGAGACATAAAATCTAAGTCGTCAGGAACGATAATGAGTGAGGGGTACAATGGGCATTATAATGTGTTTTGCAATGTCTATGGTACCGTTTGTGTTTATTGACGACGAATATCACTCCATCAAATGGATCATCAATTTGTTTGTATTCTAAGCATAAGAAAAATATTTCCTCCGCAAACTAATTTACTAAATGCGCTTATTTTTACAGTAAATACTGTTGAATTATCATAGAATGAGCTATCATAGAATAAGAAGAAGTTAAGACTTCTAATTTTCGAAATGGCAACCCTAGTAGTAATAACTGTACAGTAAATCCATATGAAACACCAGTACTATCGAGTTAGATAGCCCCTGGACCCCGCGATAACTTGGCTGGATTACGCTGAGACGAAGAGTTTCCATCTTTGAACTGGACTTTGTGGGTACAAAGACTATATAGTTTATACAGAAATAATAAATCTGAGCTAATATCATAAACTGACTTTTACCCGCAACCAGAAGGTTTCACACCACAAACTGACTTTCACATCCTTACTAATATTAAAATTATAAAAATGTGTTCGTTTATTCGTTTATAATACTTTTGGTACAGTTATTTCTTATCTATTAGTGCCTTGACGGCTTGACCAACCACTATGAAATTTAGTACACTATTTGCTCCTATCCCAACATATCCGAGTTAAGCAAACGAAGTCGCGGATGCAAGCTAAATATAAATTTACTTACTAGATGACTCGTTTTTTTATTAGTATTTACTAATAGTACTATATACTTACGCACACAATGTATCTTGACATATCTATATTTAATTATTTAATAAATAAAATTTATTATTAAAAATAAGTGCAAAAATGATAAGACAAAATAAATATAGAAGATATAAAGGAATCACTCGTAACTTTGACCCGCTTTTCTCAAAGCATTTTTTTTTTTACAACACAGGGGGCAAAAAGCATGCGGCTCACCTGGTGGTAAGCGACTACCGCCGCCCATGATCACCCACAATACTAACGGCATTGCAGGTGTGCTGCCGGCCTTTTAAAAAGGAATATGCTCTTTTCTTGACGGTTATGTTGTCGTATCGGTTCGGAAATACTGCTGCTGGAAGTTGATTCCAAAGAGTGGTCGTGCGTGAAAGAAAGTGCCTTGAAAAACGCACGGTGGAGGACAGCCACACGTCCAGATGATTAGGATGAAACTTTAGTTTGTACAATGATGAAAATCAGCAGTAAGTATCAATTTGAACAATTCCTCAGAGCACTCCCCATGATAAATTCGATAGAAGATGCACAGAGATGCAACATCTCTACGCAGTTTCAGTGGGTCGAGCCGGACAGTAACGCGCCAATCGTCAACAGTTCGAGCTGCCCGACTTTGAATGTATCTATCTAATCTAGGGCTAATAAGTATTGCCTAAAATGTAAAATTGCAACGAATAAACAGGCCATAGTCTGGATCATACAATCATACTACTTTGCTTCTTATATTAAATACATAGTTAGATAGTAATAACATAGAGAACAACATATTGTTCCAACAATATTTACTTTCATAATAATATGGCAGATTGCCTAAAACTGTCGAGACGGACGCGCCACGCGTGATTTTATAATATTTAGGGGGCATATACACGATCAAATTGTTTTCATTTAGGTCAATTATTTTAATAATTATTTAATGATAATTCTATTTGTTCTCCTTTAACCACTTTTACTTTTACCAGGGGGAGACTTTGTACAAAAGTCGATTGCTTAGGTACCTCTGTCCCATTCGTGTTTCTACCGTGAAGCAGCTGTGTTTGCATGGCTGTGTTTCGGTTTGAAGGGTGGGATATGGCGTGAATTTTCTGGGTACGGAGGAATAACACCTGAGTCCTCGGGAATGGCAACGCATGGGGGTAAAATGGGCGAAACAGTATACTCTGTTATGTCCATGGTACTGCTCATGTCTATAGGCGACGGTTACCACTTTCCATCAGGTGGGCCGTCAGCTTGTTTGCCATTCTAAGTTGTATAAAAAAAAACCAAAGGTTGTTTGTAAGAGATTGCCCTAGCGATAAGGCCACATTTTGTACCTTTATGTACACTTTTTTTTTACAATACAGGCGAGCTTACCAGCGAATATGCGACTCACCTGATGGTAAGTGACTACCGCCGGTCATGATCACCCACAACACCAGCGGCATTGCAGGTGTACTGCCGGCCTTTTAAAAGGGAATATGCTCTTTTCTTGAAGGTTATGATTTTAATATGTACTTTACGCTACTGTATTTCATTCGATTTGTTTAATTGTCATTATATATTTTTATGTTTCTTGTGCAATAAAGAGTTAAATAAATAAATAATTCATGATCATTTGAAAGACCAGAGGGAGATGTTGTACAAAAGTCGTCTGCTTGGGTACCTCTGTCCCATTAATATTTCTGGCGTGATGCAATTATGTTTGCATGGTTGTGGTTGGGTTAGAAGGGTGGGTTATAGCATTGATATTACAGAATACAAAGGCATAAAATCTTAGTCTTTGGAATGGCAACGCACGAAAGGTGATAAATGTCACCCATGATGGGCGACACAGTATACTCTGCTATATTCATGTCTATAGGCGACAGTTATTACTTTCATAAGGCAGGCCATCAGCTTGTTTACCATTCTAAATTGCATAAAAAAATGTCAAACAGTAAGAGTTAGACACGGATAAATAAAATAAATGTTTGATAAAAAAAAAAAAAATTATGCTTGTGGTTTTAACAACGGGTTCAACGGGTTTGAACTATCAATTGAGTACATTTCGATCGCTATTGTTATAATAGATATTCGTAAAATGATGTTTGATGTAATACATTTATACTTATCAATCCAATTTTTAATTATTTGGTAACAAGTTTTGCTTCAAACCAAACCGACGTAATGGTTTGATCAAACAACGTAATGTTTAAATGAAACGGTTTGATTGTCTAACGCAAACATTCACAGCTAGTCGGGGTATACCTACGCGGAATGGACGAGTTGGCTATACTTGCAATTGTACTGCAGTTGACTCACAGCATCTGAGTCGCGCTGCACGCATTGACTACCCAATCGTCACCGAGTCGACAAGTTTCCACTATATCAGCTGATATCGCGACCGCGTCTCGCCACTTGAATCCGTTTTTATACTCAGTTATGTCTCGATAGTGCGCGCCAATGGACGTCGTAAACGGCTCGCCGTCGCTACGGCAGCGCGGCGGCAAACACAATAGTGACAATAAAAAATATGATTTGAATCTGTGCCCGAGTGTTATGTCTCCGGAAACGCAACGTCTCCTGCCGCCGACCACGGAGACTATTATGACGAAGCCGTTCCCCGTACGAGGTAACTATGCCTAGAATAGAAGAATGCACTAAAAATACGACAAACACGCGTCGCAGTGACAACTGCCCCATCCCGTTTCGATCTGATAGACAAATCCGTTTAACAAACAAGTTTACAATATGCTCACATGTGTGCAAGTAATATTGGTCCTTCGTGTCTGGATAAATCATATTGTTGTTTTTTATATAAAGACACGCTTATAGTAAACAAAAGATTTTTTTAATTTAAAATTAAATGTATTGAAACACAAGTATTATTATTTTTATAAATATTTACATAATATACCTAACATTCATACTAGTGATGCGTTTCCAATTATTTATTTTACACATACACTAAACAAACTTTTCATACAATGGTAGTATGATCATTAGATATACTATCGTTTTTAAGAAAATATGAATTACGTATTTAATATATTTAATTAAACAACATAATTATGTTCTTACATAAAGTAAGATTCAGATAATTGATCTTTTACAATCCCTCCTGAGTCTTAACAATTAATAATATGACTTAAATGATACAAATAGATAAAATTTATTGATTTTATTTTTATATTTCTATAATTATTATTATTATTATCTCCTTTTGAGTCCTCAAGGTTGGCTGGAAGAAGTCCCTTCAAAGGATAAGTCTGCCTGTGGGCATTTTCGTTATAACCTAATATCTATTAAATATTAAAAATGAATAGATAGATAAATAATTTATTTATAATATATTTATAATTTATTCACTTACAGCACACAAACAGCAACAGACACAAATGCAAAGTGAATAAAGATAAAAAAACATATACAAAAAATAAAAAAACAAAAACTAAATCAGTGTGCTTAAAATTAGTAACAATTTTTTTTTCTTCATGCGTGTGCCACAATAATACAAAATGGCCACAACTCAGTTTTTAAAGAAGCCTAAAAAGAGCAAAGCACTGATATTCTGTTGTGGCCAAAAAGTGAGCCGCGAAATACCACTGAAAAAAAATAATAAAAAAATTACCAAGTGTCAAGTGTTTGTATTTATAAATACATTATTATATAGACTAGATATCAAGATTTTTAAAACTTGAACTCGTGATAAATGGAATAATTTTTGATATCTACAACTCAAGATAATTTGTCTACGGTTGTCATTCCGTTTCAAGGCGTTTCGCCGATCTTCAAATTGTGTCCAACAAACAGAAATAAGTAAGGTTATTTTTTTATTTCAAATACAAGTTTATTTGATCGAAACGTAAACTATTTTTTGCCTATTTTTTTATACTCGATATATTATATAAAATGTAAAATATAGGAAAATGTCTGCATACTAAAGACGTACATGTATGTACTTAATGAACTACAAGTATATCCTTAATGTTATGTTACTCGCCTCATCAGGCTCGGCGACGCGTAAATAATGAAAAAAAAAACGTAATCCTCAGAGAGATCAAATTCCAATACTGCAATACACAAACGACTCGAATCGCTCATATCTGAAATTTGTAACTATTTCCATTTCCTTAATGCACCGATAGGCATGTTCATAAAATATGTTCCAGGTTTTATTCTAAATAGAGACAATAAAAAAAAAACTCTGAATTAGCTCACTAAATTGAGCCAATTTAAAAACTTTTTTTTAAAGAATAGTTTAAAAGTTTTTTTCGTGCATATACTAATAAATACTGGAAAAAGAATATTTAACAAAACAGCATCTAACACTTGCTTATAATTAAACATGCGTAAATAAACGAAAATCTGTTTTATTAAAAATAAAATATTTTTAAAGTAATTAATTTTATTATAATAATATACGTAGATTTAGCATAAAAAATTATAAACAAACATTTTAAAAAATGCATTTGCATAAATCGAAACGAAATATACACTGACTTAACAATGTTTAATCACTAATGAGTTTTGTTAAACACGTGTTCAGTTTTGTTTTTAATTATTTCGTAGTAAGACCATTATTTCTTGAGTTAGGTTCTTTATGGCGACCGCGTACGGGTAAACGTAGTGTAGGACGACCCCTCCACTAGATGAAGTGACGACCTGAAATGTATTGCAGGGAGTCAGTGGATGCAGGTGACTCGGAACCGTTCTTTATGGCAGTCTATGGGCGAGGCTAATGTCCAGCAGTGGACGGATAATGGCTGTAATGATAATGATAATTAAGACTATTATTTTTAAAGCAATGGATTAAAAAATTACTGCACATTTTTCATTATTCAGTGAACGTCACACTGATATTTTTTTTATACAACTTAGAATGGCAAACAAGCTGACGGCCCACCTGATGGAAAGTGGTAACCGTCGCCTATAGACATGAGCAGTACCATGGACATAACAGAGTATACTGTTTCGCCCATTTTACCCCCCATGCGTTGCCATTCCTGAGGACTCAGGTGTTATTCCTCTGTACCCAGTAAATTCACGCCATATCCCACCCTTCGAACGGAAACACAGCCATGCAAATACAGCTGCTTCACGGTAGAAACACGAATGGGACAGAGGTAGCCAAGCAATCGACTTTTGTACAAAGTCACCCTCTGGTAAACACTGGTCACACTGATATGCATTATTGATAATGATAATAAATGTATGTGTGACTATAAATTTTGAATAGGAATTAATACAAAATACTAAATAAGTACAATAATATATTATACACAAGTTCAAAGTACAATTTTAAAATCGTTGTCCAATAAATCCTTTTAATATAATATAAAAGTTAGGTATTTATGATTATTTTCCTTAATGTTTTAACGCTGTTAACTTTCCTAATTGTACAAAACTCATAATTACTTTGGGGGAAAGGGATTGTTAGTAATGGAGACTGATAATCCTATTGTTAGCAATATACCCGACCAGGTCGACCTCCTCGCGGTTCCCCCTGGAAACTATCATGGTTAATTCCTGATGAATTCATCATGAATAAAATGTATTGATGAGTAAAGAATGTGTGTATGCAGTTATATATGGGTATGAGTGTGTAATCGCATTATATCGTATGGTTGTTTGTGTACTTATACACATTCACGACGTCACTGCATTGCAACATAATTGCATAGTATAACCAGCTGAGATATTGTCCCACGTAATATAAGAAACATTATATTATTAAATTTGGAAAAATAAGAACCGAATAACTATACAATAATAGTGCTACTTATCAATTTAAATCAACTAAAATACTCTCGTAAAAATGGTGAACGCAGCCAAGTTACCACGCTTTTTTTTAATGGATAAAAATGGAATGGTAACCCCGCCTGCGCTGTCGGAATACGCTAGCGGGGCACCAGTGAGGGATGATAGGTGAAGATGAAGCAGGTCAGTTGACTCATCGTGATGAATTCATCAAAAATTAATCACAATGGTTTCCAGAGTGAACCGCATGGAGGTCGACCTGTTGGGGTATATTGCTAGTAATAGGTCTGTTGGATCTTATTAATAACAATCCCTGTCCCCCTTGCTAGGCGGATTGGCAACCGCATTTAGGTTTTCCGTGATGTTTTAAGCAGGACACTGCTTTTCATCCTTCGACCTGTAAGTTCAGGGATGATAGGCGAGAATGAAAGTAAGTCAGGCCCGTCCTAACAATTTCAAAAAGAATTAACCACGCTGGTTTCCAGGGGAAATAGCAAGGCAAGGGTGAGAATTGTAGTAGTGTAGTATATTGTAGTTACAATACACCTACATATATTTTTTTTTGATGGATGAAAATGGTATGGTAACCCCGCCTGCGCTGACGGGATACACTGGCGGAGCACCAGTGAAGGGTGATAGATGAGAATGAAAACTGGCCAGTTAGCCCATCATGATGGATTCATCAGGAATTAACCATGATAGTTTCCAGGGAGAACTGCGAGGAGGTCGACCTGGTTGGGTATATTGCTAGCAATGGGATTCTCAGTCTCCATTACTAATTAAATCATAAAAAGCGGTCGTTTCGGAGGAGTGCGACCGATATATATATATATATATATATATATATATATATATATATATATATATATATATATATATATATATATATATATATATATATATATATATATATATAAATAATTGATAACGAACGAAAAATACTTACCTGCCTATTAGTCATTAGATTTCAATGGACACACAAAGTTTTTATGTCGCCTAGATTTTTGAACTCATTACCCGCCAATAAGTACAATAATCAATTAAGCCACAAATCACAACGCACTCATTAGCTGTTATCTATTCTTCTACTATCAGCCTCTGGAATTAAATCACTGTAAATCTACGCAGAGCACCCAGTAAGCATATTTTTAAAAGAAGACTTTTTAATTATTTGTTGAGTCTACAAAACCAGCTCTAGTTACAGGTTACTCAATAGTTACTATATCTCATAATGCTTATCGTTGTTTTGATATATATATATTTTATATATATTATTTCATATTAATTATTTATATAACCATATTATAAGTAATGTTTATGTATTATATATGCATTTCTTATGTATTATGTATAATTATTTCAATATGTTACTATAATTATGTGACACATTTTTCACCACATCTGCCCTTCATACGCTTTCTGTTTTTACCTAATGGTTAGCTGGGAAAGAATGTCATATGAGAATCTTCCAATGCATAGATAGCAGATGTTCCAATGTTACTATTTACGATGTGGCTGTGGATATAAGCATATTTAGAGGGGGGGAGGGGCGTGCCCACACTAGAATTGTCTGGTGCCCACCCCAGAATAAGGAGAGAAATTTTTAACTTACGAGTAAGCCAGAGAAGTCTGAGAGTGTATATGCACCTTTTTTAAGGGGCCAGGCCCACCCAGAGTCGCAATCATTCAATCATGAAATATTTTTAAATAGAAACATACAGATGGATATAAGGGGGGAAACAGCTAAAAAAATAATGGATGAAATATGTATACTAATTCTAACTCTAACCTGGCATTGAAATCGATTACTTATTAAGAGCAATTTAGCTGTAACGGATTCATGTCCTTATGACCTACACCTAGGGCACTGAT